TTTATATCTAAGTATAATACGAAACCGCTAAAAAGTGTACATGTATATAGAAATACAAACTTTCCTTATATAAATCAAAAGCTGGTAAATAAAATAATCACATAGATATTGATACCATTCTTCATAATTTTATTTTTAAGTTCAGTATTTAAAACAACAGAGTCAAACTCAAATTAACATAGTTAAAGAGCATAATTTATTTAGAAAACAAAGCAAATATACATTAACCATCAAAACCCCCTATATTTCTCACAGTAAGAAAGTAAAACAATTATCATTTATTATTTCATGTCTTTCAAATTTTACATTACCTCCCTCCCCCCCCCTCTCTCTCTCTCTTACTAATTGTGATACATGTGTCATATTACATATTCATCTTTTTCAAGATAATTTTTTCTACTTGGGCAAGTTAATATTGTATGATTTTCTTTACTGGGAAAAAGATTTTTGTCCTTCAAATTTGAGAAATAATTTCCGTTTGTCTTCTTCATTTTTTAACAATGTCCATACCAAGCTCTTCACAAAGTGCTTTCACTGCATCTTTTATTATTTGGTGATTTTGAGCAAGGGCAGCCGTGGCTGTCGGGACAGGCAATGGCATACTGCTTTGACTCTTCTGTATCTTCTTTTTTAATGCCATTTTTATTGGGGTAGTTGGTGACCTAAACGCAATAGGTTCCTCTTGAATAGTTGCAGAAACGATGGTTCCAAAACTTTCCATAATATATTGGTCTGGTTTAAACGCAGGAGGTGTAATTTTGAACGAACTTGGAAGATTTTCGTAGGTATCGAGTGAGAACGCCGGTACCTTTCTGAAAAGAACAACTGATAAATCTTTAGCATCCAGCTCATCTTGACATTTTTTACGCAAGATTTCAAGTTTTTTAATTTCTTTGACAAAATCGCCAATTCTTGAAGTAATCATCTTTTTAGTTTCTTTAGTAGTTGCCTTCATTTCTTCGGCCTTATTTAGAATGGTTGTTCGCATCTTTTCAATAAAATCTTTAACGTCCTTCATCACGCTCTCTGAAGCTTGCTCCAGTTTTCCTAGTTCTTCAACCAGCTGCTGTTTTGCGTCCTCTCTTTGTTGGATATGGCTCTGAATGAGATCTAAATCACTTTCAATCATAGCTCTTTTGTTTCCAAAAAAATCGGTTATATCTCCAATTCTGTGTCCAGTATGGCTAGAGATCAGACACTGCGAACATATTGCTTGATTGCAATCCTGACAACATAAATCCACTGTTTTAGATGTATGTTTAGGACAAGCAACTTTCTCAATTTCCTTCATGGTAACGGAAGCAGCTTTCCGTTTCACACCTTTTTTCGTTGAAGTATTAGGTGTATTTGTCGATGTCGTATAACCAGGTGTTGGGGCATTTGAAGTTAATGGCGCATAACCAGGTGCTGGGGCATTTAAAGTTGATGGCGCATAAAAAGGTTTTGGAGCATTTGAAGTTGATGGCACATAAACAGGTTTTGGAGCATTCGAAGTTGATGGCACATAAAACGGTTTTGGAGCAATTGAGGTTAATGGTACATAACTAGGTTTTGGAGCATTTGAAGTTAATGGTACATAACCAGGTTTTGGAGCATTTGAAGTTAATAGCACATACCCAGGTTTTGGAGCATTTGAAGTTAATAGCCCATAAACAGGTTTTGGAGCATTTGAAGTTAATGGCACATAAACATGTTTTGGAGCATTTGAAGTTGATGGTGCATGAACAGATGTTGGGGCACTTGTTGAAGTCGATGCAACATCAGGCGGTATTATACATGTGGTGACGGGGATATTATCACGGAGATCTAGTTGTATGGAAGGTTCCATCTTATTGAATAAAAGGTAGAAATAAAATGATACAAACATATATGTATATTTGTCAGTCGATTCTGTTTTCAATACTATCTTTTACACTAAAGGAAAGAAAATGACACTCATTTTTTTTTAAAAATACTGAAATCAAACATTATTAAATGATGCACTCAAAGGCATTTTGAGGTTCTGCATAATTTTATTTGACAGTATTTCCTTTTATTTAACATTTTTGCGTTTAAAAATAAAGCAATTTGGTAAACATATACAAGTATATCTCTTAACTTATAATACTGATTTATTTACGTTTTGAAATGTTTTTAGCCTAGAAATAATAATAGTAAGTTTTATTCACTAAAATCAATACTTTAATTAACATACCTTGATTGAAGAAGTATCAATTTCATCTGAAAAAGTTAAAGACACCACGTTATGATTTTTGAAGGCATTCCCTTTGCTGTGAAGTCCTGAACAATTTTCACATAGGTTCCCACATTGTTTGCAGTGCGAGTAGAGAATACTTAAATCAGCACATACCCCACATTTAAGTCGAGGAGAGTATATAGAAGACATCACTTCCCTAATAATATCAAAAAAGAGAAAGACAACTGTGAATTCAATTTTAATAAGGAATCGTGATTTAAGTTAACAATAATGACTACTAGTTTTATGCAAGTTAATGTTTCTGATAAATAAATATTTTTTTCGGCAAATGAAAAACAAATCTCTATCTTTGGCTGCCCTTTATATGGGACAACAGGTTCAATTAGCATGCTCACAAAACTGACTTACCCATTCCATTTTACTATATGTTTCATTGTTAAATCTCAGGTTTTAATATATGTACATATACGGGCTATATTAATATAATGTTTTTTCTCCTAATGACCTCTACTAAAAATCATGACCTTGTGCCAAGGTTTCTACATCATATGATAAAAAGTCTTTTTTTTTCGTAAGCTTCTAATTTTTTTCTGTAGAGAAAATGCTAGGACAGGAAAACTATTTTACAAGTTTTCTTGAACCTGACTAGAAAAAAAGCTGAGCAGTTAATCAGTTCAATATTTTTAAAGTGCAAATGTGATCTTGAAAAGAAGATATTTAAAGATTCTTCTTATGTAAAACCTTAAGACCCGGAGGGCATGATTTGAACAAAATTATTACACTACCTGATATAGCTTTCATATAAATATGACTAATCTTGGCTTTTATGTTCTCTACAAGTAGATTTCAGAAGATTTTCCCAGTGTATTCCTATGTAAACCTTTTAATTATATATTGTGATCCCGCCCCTCTACATGGATCTTGATTTAAACAAACTTGAATTTACACTACCTAAGGATGCTTCCATATAAATATCAATTTTCAAAGTTTCGCTATTCTTGAGATTAAGACCTTCCTCCGGGTGACATTATTTGAACAAACTTGAATCTACACTTCCTGAGAGGCTTCGAATATAAATATGACTGATCCAGGCTTTGCTGTTTTTGAGATTAAAATTTTGAGATTAAGATTTTTTTCCTTTGTAAAACTTAGATCTCTCAATAAGGCCCCACCCTTCCCCAGGGGTCATAATTTAAATAAACTTGAGTCTACACTACCTAAAAATAATTCCATATAACATGTATAAATATGACTTATCTTGGTTTTACTGTTTTTGAAAGGAAGATTTTTAAAGATTTTCCCTATGTATTCATATGTAAAACTTGGATCCCCATTGTGGCCCCACCCTAGCCAAAGGGGGGGGCGTGATTTGAACTTATCTTTATGCACAATATCTGACAATGCGTCAACATAAGGTTTATGTTTTCAAGTATAGTTGTTCCTGAGAAGAAAATTTTAAATGATACTACTTGCAATAATTTTTTCAATAAGGCTAATTATCTCCCCTGTAAGAAGGCGTGGGCGCGTGGCCCTTTATTTGAACAAACTGAAATTCCTTTTGCCAAAGGATACTCTTTTGGAAGTTTTTTTAAAGTCGGCCCAGTGGTTCTAAAGAAGAAATTGTGAAATGTTAACAACGACCACAGATAATTAAGAAATTTCAGTTGAGCATTCGGCTCAGGTGAACTAAAAAAGAAGTACGTCGGACAAACCACGAAGAAAGAAGCTAAGGGTTCTATTTATTAAAGCAAACAATTTTAAATCTGTAGGTCGCTGATGGGAAATTTATTTGGGAAAGATTTTAGAAGCATTCAAACGGAAAATTTATGCGCTCAGTGTTGAAGATATGACTGCTCTTTGTACTCTGTGACTTTATATTACCTAACGTGTTTCTGTGTTTCATTCATTTTTATGTGCTTTGGTATCAAGTTCATTTCATTCTTTTTTATCGGGCCATATGTAAACATCCTGTTAAAATGCGCCCATATATCGGACAAATGCAAAAGTAGACTACACCTTTCACTGTTTCACTTTGTAAATAATTTCATGTACGTGTTTAACACAATATATATGTAATAAAAGTGCTAATTATGGGATTTTTCCACGGTAATAGAAAAAAGGTTTCTAACATTTAAGATAGAAAAAATGAATTATTCCAAAAACCCAAACTTACATCTGGTTTGGCAATTGTCGTGAACTTATTTGAACAATTAGATCTGTAACTTAATGCAAAGATCCAAGAAACTTGATGCAAAGACTGGGCAACAGTAAATATGATTATAAATACCCTCTCTATGCAAGGTTTTTTAAATAAAAATCCGAGAAGTAACGTTTTTCCATGTTATTACATGTAACAATGAATTTATTAACGTATAACATAACACACACTTTATTCACGTGTAAATAAATTGAAAACAAAAGTCTAGAGTTTTGACGCCATATTGAAAAAGGCGGGTTCAAATATACACGTGCAAACAAAGCAACATATATTAAAAGATGTGTATATGGTTACGATTATTGTATGACAAACAAATAACAAAGAATACCTTTTGGACTATCCTTATCCACGTGCGTTTGTATAAAATATTGGAAAGAGGTACAGGGTATATAGGTCCCTGCTTCTACACTCCCACCTACTTAAATATATAATATCTTTCTATATTTAGAAGGTCGCGTCATCAAGCTAACATTCTATATTTAGATGTCGTATCATCAAGCTAACACTAACCAGTTTGATGTAAGGATCATGTTGATGTGAGGTTCACGTGACCTGGTGTACACATTGTATATTATATTTTTTTGCAGTCTCGGAAGTACAACGCAATTTATGGCACGGTGTAATTCAGGGACCGGTGCCTTGTTTTTAAAATGAGAGAAAAAAGATGTTCGAAATATTGTATTGACTTATTGTTATGAAAATAATAATTCTTCATATTTTTAGCTCACCTGAGCCGAAGGCTCACGGGAACTTTTCTGATCAAAATTTATCCGTTGTCTGTCGTCGTTGTCGTTGTTGTCGTCGTAAACCTTTCACATTTTCATCTTCTTCTCAAGAACCACTGGGCCAAACTCAACTAAATTTGGTAAAAAGTATCCTTGGGTAAAGTGGATTCAAGTTTGTTCAAATGGAGGGCCACGCCCTTTTCCAAGGGTAGATAATCATGAATTTCATAAAAATTAATGGCATTTTTTAAATATCTTCTTCTCCAGAACAGCTGGGCCAGGAAATATGAAACTCATGTGGAAGCATCCTCAGAAAGTGTACATTCAGGTTTATTCAAATCATTACCCCCGGGGCAAGGGTGGGGCCAAAATGGCCGACCCAAGTTTTACATAGTAATATATAGGAAAATCTTTAAAAATCTTCTTCTCCAAAACCACCAGTCCAGGAAAGATGAAACTCATGTGGCATTTCTTCTCCAAAACCACCTGTCCAGGAAAGATGAAACTCATGTGGCATTATCATCAGGCAGTGTAGATTTAAATTTGTTCAAATCATGACCCCCGGGGCAAGGGTGGGGCCAAAATGGCCGACCAAAGTTTTACATATGAATATATAGCACAAATCTTTTAAAAATCTTCTCCAAAACCACCAGTCCAGGGAAGATGAAACTCATGTGGCATTACCCTCAGGTAGTGTAGATTCAAATTTGTTCAATCATGACCCCCGGGGCAAGGGTGGGGCCAAAAATGGCCCATCCAAATTTAACATAGGAATATATAGGAAAAATGTTTAAAAATCTTCTTCTCCAGAACTACGAAACCAGGAAAGATGAAACTCATGTGGAATCATCCTCAGGTAGTGTAGATTCAAGTTTATTCAAATCATGATCCCCGGTTCAAAGGTGGGGCCAAAATGGCCGACCCAATTTTTTCATAGGAATTTAAAAGAAAAATCTTTAAAAATCTTCTTCTCCAGAACCACGAAACCAGGAAACATGAAACTCATGTGTAATCATCCTCAGGTAGTGTAGATTCAAGTTTGTTCAAATCATGACCCCTGTTATAAGGGTCGGGCCAAAATGGCCGACCCTAGTTTAACATAGTAGTATAAAAGAAAAATCTTTAAAAATCTTTTTCTACAGAACAACAGGGCTAAGAAAGATGAAACTGATGTGGAATAATCCTCAGGTAGTGTAGATTCAAATATGTTCAAATCATGACCCCCGGGGCAAGGGTGAGGCCAAAATGGCCGACCCTAGTTTTACATAGGAATATAAAGGAAATATCTTTTAAAATCCTTCTCAAGAACCACTGGGCCAGGAAAGATGAATCTCATGTGGAATCATCCTCAGGTCGTGCAGATTCAAGTTTGTTCAAATCATGACCCCCGGGGCAAGGGTGGGGCCAAAATGGCCGACCCAGGTTTTACATAGGAATATATAGGGAAAATCTTTAAAAATCTTCTTCTCCAAAACCACCAGTCCAGGAAAGATGAAACTCATCTGGCATTATCATCAGGTAGTGTAGATTTAAGTTTGTCAAAATCAAGTTTATTCAAATCATGACCCCCGAAGCAAGGGTGGGGCCAAAATGGCCGACCCAAGTTTCACACAGTAATATATAGGAAAAATCTTTAAAAATCTTCTTCTCCAAAACCACCAGTCCAGGAAAGATGAAACTCATGTGGCACTTCTTTTCCAAAACCACCTGTCCAGGAAAGATGAAACTCATGTGGCATTATCATCAGGCAGTGTAGATTTAAATTTGTTCAAATCATGACCCCCGGGGTAAGGGTGGGGCCAAAAATGGCCCATCCAAATTTAACATAGGAATATATAGGAAAAATGTTTAAAAATCTTCTTCTCCAGAACTACGAAACCAGGAAAGATGAAACTCATGTGGAATCATCCTCAGGTAGTGTAGATTCAAGTTTGTTCAAATCATGATCCCCAGTTCAAAGGTGGGGCCAAAATGGCCGACCCAATTTTTTCATAGGAATTTAAAAGAAAAATCTTTAAAATTCTTCTTCTCCAGAACCACGAAACCAGGAAACATGAAACTCATGTGGAATCTTCCTCAGGTAGTGTAGATTCAAGTTTGTTAAAATGACCCCTGTTAAAGACCAAAATGGCCATTTACCCTAGTTTAACATAGTAGTATAAAAGAAAAATCTTTAAAAATCTTTTTCTACAGAACAACAGGGCTAAGAAAGATGAAACTGATGTGGAATAATCCTCAGGTAGTGTAGATTCAAATATGTTCAAATCATGACCCCCGGGGCAAGGGTGAGGCCAAAATGGCCGACCCTAGTTTTACATAGGAATATAAAGGAAATATCTTTTAAAATCCTTCTCAAGAACCACTGGGCCAGGAAAGATGAATATATATGTGGAATATCCTCAGGTCGTGCAGATTCAAGTTTGTTCAAATCATGACCCCCGGGGCTAGGATGGGGCCAAAATGGCCGACCTAAGTTTTACATAGGGATATATAGGGAAACCTTTTAAAATCTTCTTTTTAAGTACTTCAAAGCTCTGATTAGTGATATTTATATGGAATCATCCTAAGGTAGTGTTTATTCTAATTTGTTCAAATGATGAACACCTGGAGGGTGGGGAGTAAATTTAAGCCCTATGTGCTAAGGTGAGCGCTGTGGCCCCTGGGCCTCTTGTTTAATGAAATAATTGTTTGCTTTACAAATTTCTACGGCCATCTTACATGTATCGATGTACATTTTTAGCGGCTTTACACATTTTCAGGCATAATGAAAATTTCATTAATATTATAGAAAATGTATAGTGCGGAATATATTCGTACATGAAATAAAGTGCACTTTGACCTCCAGATCTTTTCCCTCCGTCACCATTTTGTCCATGGTTTGTTCCATCTTTTTTAGTTCTTCAACCAACCCTAACAAAAAATACTTTAGTTAACTTTAGTACCAAAGTAAAAGCTTTGGATCTTTGATTTACTTCAGTGAAAACTTTGGATCTTTGATCGACTATATAGTAAAAACTTTGGAACTTTAATTTACTATAATGAAAACGTTGATTGACCATAACAATGACTTCGGAACTTTGATGTAATTATGATTTCATTCCATTTTTTTTTTTATTTTGTCATATTTCAAGGTAAAGATTCATAAAAGATTCCGTGATTTTTTTAAAGGAACTTTACCATTGCTCTGAAAGAATAATGTACAATTAATGAATATTAATGTAAAGGTTGTTAGTTGTACCGAAAAAATTTTGTTTTAATGTTAGACAAATGTAAACTAGATATTATCTAATGGAAGAAAAAATAAATACAAAATTATATGCGGCATTTAAAATGAAAAAATAAATAAGCTTAATTAACCTTAATCAACCATAGATTAAAAAAATTTAAATGTTAAAAATTGTATTTTATATATATATATATATATATATATATATATATATATATATATATATATATATATATATATATATATATATATATATATATATATATATATATATATATATATAGCCCCAACCAACCCCTATTGATCCCCTAAAACGGCTTAAATATATATAAAAAAAATTACTTTAAAAATTATAAAGGTTTTTAAACTGATGAAAAAGTTTGAAATTTGATAAAGTATAGTGAAAACTTTGAAAGTTTGATCAACTATAAATATAATTTTGGAACTTTGATTTACTCTGTGAAAACTTTGTATCTTTGATTTACTACAGCAAAAATTTTGGACATTTGATTTAATGTAGTAAAAACTTTGCAACTTTATTTGATTTACTATAGTGAAAACTTTGAAACTTTAACTTACTTCAGTGAAATCTTTGGAAATTTAATCTACTATAGTAAAAACTTTGGAAGTTTGATTTACTATTTTTAACAAACTATATTTAGCTTTAGTTTACTACAGTATTTTTTGTGAAGGAAATGTAAATTCACTTCTCTCTTTGCTTGATATGGTTCTGAGTGAGATCTAAATCACTTTCTATCATAGCTCTTTTTTTCGAGATAATCAGTATCATCTTCTATTCTGTGTCCAGTATGGGCAGATGTTAGACACTTCGATCCAGTATGGACAGATGTTTGACACTGCGAACATGTTGCTTGACTGCAATCATCACAACATAAATCCACAGTATTAAAATAATGTTTAGGCCAAGAAGCAATCTTCATTCCCTTCATGATAACTGAAGGCTTTGCTCTCTTTTTATTTTCTCTCTTGGTTCACTTCTCCGAAAAAAAATATTTTCTTATTTACTAATTTATTGAAAAACAAACATAAACAATAATAATGCTGTAGGATTGTTGTTTTCGTTACGAATCGCACTTTTATTCAAACGATACAAGCCAAATGCATAAATTTTACAGGATAAACAATGCAAGGACTGGGTGGGCAAGGAGAGCCAAAGACACAAAACAACCTGTGATTCTTTGTAACGAACGTCGCATTAATCGAACATTCCCCGGTAAATGTATTTATAGTGAGTGCTAAAGCGCTCGTGCATGAAAAAAACAGTTTCTCTAGATACGAAAAATCACGGAGAGTACCGAAGTAAAAACGTAAAGAAATAAATTGTCTGTCGATGTATGATGTAGGTAGAAAATTTCAGTGTGTGTTGTGGTAAAGTGGGGGTTTTCTTCCGATCAGGTAAACTGGAAGCCTCCTTTCTATTATCACCTCAAACAACTAGTTGCGCAGGGGATGTAGCATTGCTATTGCGTGTGTGTTTATGTGTTAGTTTGCTTGTTACAGCTTATGGGCAAAATTTAAATAGAACCTTAAAATTGCACTATCAACTGTCAGCCTTCAAATATGAATTCATTTAATTTTCAAGTTAATCGGTTAAGCGGCTCTTTATTTAAATATAGCGTTTTTACCACCTCCAAACCCTGAAATTTTATGTACATGTTGAAAATACATGTACTCACTTACGGTTATTTCAACTGGTAATTTTGGGTTGTGAATTCTATATTTAGAGGTCTCATCATCAAGCAGAGACAAACTGTAGATCTCTTCCCTCGCCCGAAAAGTTTATCCTTGATATTTCAACATACATTTTGTATTCCTAGGTCCCGAGTCACGACAGGAGGCAAATCGCACATCATGTTACTCTTTTGACAAGATCTTTTAACGATATACACATTGTAATCTGTTTCTTCGCTCTCCATCCTTCGTCCGATTCAAAGTCTATACCACTCAGAAATAATCTTTTTCATTATAATTGGCTTTTTTTTTATTTATTTCCTGATTCCGTCAGCATTTTCAGAGTTTCGTTGTTTTAGTAGTTTTCCGAATGCAAAACAAAATTTAAGTCCCGTGTCACGACAGGAGTTGGCAAATCGCACATCACGTTTCCTCACGTTACTCTTTTGACAAGATTTTTTAAAACTATAATCTTTTCTAAACAAAGCGATGTATTACATTTAGTTCTAGCATCAAAGTATACAACTCAGAAATAGACATTTCAATTTTATTAGAAATGGCTAATTTTTTTTATCAATCAATCAATCTCTTCTTATCCATTAGTACAAAGTGCAATCCACTTGTCCTCCTTATCAATATGTTTGCCTTGTAAAAAATCAAGCTTTTTAAAATAAAAATTTATTTAATAAAATTTTATTAGTTAGTTGTAGCGAAAATATACATTATAAAACTTGATATCTATTCAATAAATTAAGTAAATATTCGTTTTACTTCTCTTTTGCCTTATTTTGTGCTAATAGATTTCATTTAATGATTATGAAACACATCAAGCAAGAAATTACAGCAACAAAAAAAATCAAAATATTATAAGTATATTACGTTGTACATATATTAAGTCTGTCTTTATTTCATATATCATGCTAATAAAATTTTTTAATCACTCTATCATCAACATTTAATGAATATTTTTTTCTTTGTCAGGTCTCTGAAACTTTATCAGGAAACGACTACTCGACAATGATTATATCTACAGAATATTCTTGCCAAGTTCCATATAAATTGGAAAAACGGCTTCTCTCAATATTTCTTCGTCTTGTTTTGTTGGAGCTCTTGCTGTCGAGATGAGCAATTGAGATGCATTATCAACTGCTTGTTTCTTCTTTTCTGGAATCGTCATCGGATCTGCATCGAATGCATTAGATTTTTCTTGAATAGTGGCTGGAACAATGGTACCAAAACTGTTGATAATTTCGAGATCTAATGCTCCGTGAACAAATGTCGCCGGTGTGATTTTGTAGGAACTGGGAAGCATTTGGTAATCTTCAAGCGAATGGCTCTTGTCCTTCCTATATAGAACAGCTCCTAAATCCTTTGTATTGAGTTCATCTTGACATTTTTTACGCAGGGTTTCCAATTTGTTTATTTCCTTGTTAAAATCACCCTTTCTTGATGTAACCATTTTCTTGATTTCTCTTGTATGTGTTTTTAAATATTCGACCTTTTGCTGAATGATGGCTTGCATCTTTTCAGTAATATTCTTAATTTCTTTTACCACGTTTCCGGTTGCTTGTTCCATCTTTTCTTGCTCTTCCATCATCTTTTGTTTTGCTTTCTCCCTTTGCTCTATGTGACTCTGAATTAAGTTCAAATCACTTTCAATCCTGGCTTTTTTATTTTGGAAAAATTCTTCAATATTGCCAATTGTATGACAACTATGATTGGTTACCAAGCACTGCGAACAAATGGCTACACTGCAATCCCGACAACATAAATCCAATATATATGTTTTATGTTTTGGACAAGCAGCATTTCCCATTTCCTTTAAAGTAATGGAATCCGACTTCCGCTTTATTCCTTTTTTCTCTTGAGGTTTAAACGATGCAGATGGAGTGTCATCAAGTGAAGTTTTTGAGCAATTACTTCCAAGGATTTCTTGCTGAATAGAAGGTGTTTTCTGAGAATTATAAAACAAAAGAGTAGTAGAAAAATATTTTGCTTACATTGATAATATAAATGTTACATATTCACAATTATAAAATATATGGTTTAAATTTTTTCCTTGAAGTATTCTATTAACTTACATGAAAGTAAATATTTCAAAATACATTTTTGTTTCATGTTTTGGGTAATATAATGTTGGGGTACATGTAAAAACATTTAAAAAGAAACATTCTTGATTCCAAGCATAGCATTTACCATCGGTGACGCAATATTCCTATTCTGTATGAAAGTACAATCGGATTCCTGTTTTTTCGTTTTCTTTTCTGGAAAATTTGATGCTTTTAAACCGGATGGAGATTCAATATGTGTCGTTTTGGTGAAAACATCTTTGAGGACAACTTGCTGAACTGATTTTTCTGGCTGAATTGATTTTTCTGTCTAAATAAATGAAAAACAAGCAAATTCAAATAAGTGTGGTCCCCCGCTTTAGGTGTCTTTAAGTGGATGGGATGTCATTACTAATGAGATATTGTGATAATGTTCGACCTATCATATGCCACGAGACCTCTGCAAAGAAAATAAACAGGTGAAAGTAATCACCAAAGTTAATTTAAAAAAAAAAATTATGTCAAGCATGAAGGGCCCCGTTGGGATCCGGGTTAGAATAGGTGCTTGTCGTAAAAGGCGACTAAATGGGGCGGTCCTTCGGATGAGACCGTATAAACCAAGGCCCCGTGTCACAGCAGGTGTGGCACGATAAAGATCCCTCCCTACTGAAAGGCCGAGCATAGGCTTAAATTTGCAGCCCTTCACCGGCAATGGTGACGTCTCCATATCAGTGAAATATTCTGGAGAGGGACGTTAAACAGTATACAATAAATCAATCAAGCATGAAGGTAAAGGGGTCAGACATAATATTAGTTGTATGCTCGGAAACATCTTGTTACAGGCAATTAATGTACAATTCAAGAATGAAAGACCTATCCCTCTTCTATTACCTCTCTTAAAAGTTATGAGGAAAGATTACATTTTTAAAAGTAGGTCAAACTTCAGCATCAAGGTCACACGGTAAAAAGAAAACACAGGGTACTAGTATTTAGAGAGAATTTGTCACAGGTAATACACGTACACAGGTGAAATATGAAAACTATATCTCTTCTCATTCAGAAGTTATGACTAAGGTTAAATTTAAAGAAAAATAGGTCAAAGTTCAAGGACAAGGTCACGGGGTCAAAAATCATAGTATATTTGGAAAGGCGTTGTCACATTTGAAAGCCTAACCCTTTCTCTTAAAAAAAATATGAAGAATTTGAAGTACTATTATTCTCTTTTAAAAATTAAAGTAGATCAACTACGAGGTCAAGATACAACAGGGTCAAAAACCATTGTATATTTGAAAAGATCTTGTAACAGGTAATGCACATGTGGAAAGTCCCCTATCTTTTCTCATTCAAAGTTATGATTAAGATTAAGTTTATGTGATAGACTTTCAGGCAGCTAGACTTAGGGACGGACAGACGAATAAGATTAAATGTCCCTCTGCTTTCGCAAAAGCAAAGGTCAAAAAGGCATGTAAGATGTTAAACAATAAAGATAAGAGTGAATATTTACACAAGCAAAAGGGATTTCAAAATGCTGCCATCGAAATATTCTTTCATACCGCTCCCGCTTTGTATATTGCCAATGAAACATATGGAGATAACAAACAGTATTCAAGATCAAATGTAAAATAAGAGCAGAGGAGACACGAACCTCCAAAACATCAGAGGTGGAATCAGGTGCCAAAGAGGAGAAATGGACTCTTGAGCTTGAACAAAAGTCATCCAAATATTTGAAAACTAACACACAAATCTTGAACTTTTTATACATATTATCAGTAATTTATGATATCCTCCAGGTTTTATATTATTTAAAATTGTATATAAAAACGCATATTGCATCTGCTGTATTTTAAGGATTCAAGGATTCATTTGAATAGAAAAAAAGATAGCTTTAAGCAAAAAAAAACAAAACAAAACAAAACAAAACAAAAAAAAAACCATATCTGAGTCAATAAAGGAAATAAAACGTATGACCTAGGGTATACGAAGCATATTATTGAATTTAATGTAAATAACTACCTTAATTTTCTTTATGTCATTTACCATCGGTAATACAATCTTCATTTTCTGTTTCGAATAAGAATCCGATTCAGGCTTCATCCCTTTCTTCTTTTTGGGTTTTGATGGTGTTAAACCGGATGGTGATTCATGAAGTATCGGTTTAGGGCTTTTGATAAACTCGTGCTCATGCAAGGATTCTATCTGGTTAAAATGGAATGAAATTCTAATTCAGATTTGTTAATACCTTTGAAAAATATTTTTTTTTATATTACAAGCAGTGCAGTTTGACAAAAAAAAAACCTCAAAAGGAATGGCCTTTGCTCCCTTCGGTAGAGCTATATTTATCACTTCGTGGTCCTTGAAAGCATTTCCTTTTCTGTGGAAATTGGAGCAGTTTTCGCAGATGTTTCCACATTGTTTACAGTGAGAATGGAGTGTGTGCAGATTCGAACACATTGCACATTTCAGTCGCGAAGAGTGAGTAGAAGATTGCGCATGGACTTCTGTAATAGATAGTATGGTAAATTCTGAATCATCCTTATAAAGACCAACATCGCATTGTCAAAGCAACACATAGTTTACCCACGATTGGAATTCTTAAACTCTAATATGATAATTATTAATTTCAAATTTCCTTTTCATTCTGTAATTTCTTGGTTTTCAGGTACTGACCAAATCTGCACTGAAAATTGTGCTACTCAAATAAAATCATGATTTTTTTTAACATTACGTTGTTTCAATGTTTATTGGTGCCCCTTTTCTAAAATTGAGATTTTGTTTAAAATTTTGAGTTTTCCTTTTTTCTCAAAGGATTAAGCTTAGGTACAACTTTTCCTTTAGATAGAAATCCAGAAATAAAACAAACATCAAAAGGAATCTTTCCTATCCAAAGTGAAATATTATTCGAGGGCACAGAAATATATCGAGCAGATTGCAACATTATAATGGCTTCTCTTCCCAGTGATAAGTAACATATATATATATGAGGTTACTAATTAATAGATAATGTCATAAATGATCATTTGGGACTGGAGTAAAGGGGTACATGTATAGTTTGCTAGTTTATGTCAATAAATAACAATATCTGTTATGATTACGTCACAACAAAGATTAGAAAATTAATTCGTACCTTGTTTATTCGCTGATAAGGTGGAGGAAGACTCATTGCTTTTTCCTTTTTGTGGTAGGTTTTTACTTTGTTTTGGCTGATCTTGGACCGCCTTGTCCTCAGGAGTAGCTGTTGTATTTCCCATTGATAAAAGAGATTATTCGAATGCTGAGCTGAGGTTCCACCTTTTTAAGCAAAAAACGTCCTCTGTAAGAAAGTAAATTTCGTGAGTAAATATTGTGCAACACCCCCCAGAAAAAAAATAATTCAAACGTTTCAAAAGATGATTTTATGTGAATGCATTAGAATTTTTGAAGGGACGTCTGAATAGGGCATGCCTCATATATATGTCGAATATACATTGCAATTGAATCTGCGTATGAATCATTTTTTTTACAACCAACTTTTATAGGGTATAAATATCACACTATTGTCTAACCTGTCCTGTCTAATATTTTCTTTATATTTTACACAAGTTCTGCAGTATTCAGCGAATCAACTGATATCTTGAAAAGGTGTTTTCCTCTATCTATTACAGGTATCATACAAACATCTTCTACTGCAAAATATACAAACAGACGGGCAAATAAAGATTTATACATGAATTTATATAATTAGGAACAGACAGTCAAACAGTCGGGTAACGTTGATAATAAAATCAATAATTCTTATATTGTTGGCTGTTTTATACAATTACAATGTACATTGGATTCTTCGAATCCTCTTTTAGAAGTTTTATTAAAACTCTTTATATTAATTTACATGCTACATTAATTGTGATGTACGTCTATGACATCATATAAAAGCATTATTGAAATAAATCTTTTTGTTCCTTTTCTTGAGTGTTGAGCCATTCGATTTAAAAACTTACATTTCAAGGTAAAGTCCAACAAAAACTTTCAATTGTTTTTTAAGCACGCCAAGATTTCATTTTTTTAAAAATGTTAATTCATTCTATTTAATCACAAATCATCAAATCACAACACGAATAACATATACAGCAGGTGTTTTCCTAAACCTTAAATGTTAGGAACAAATTTATACAGTTAAATATTCTAGATAAAATCATTTGGAATAACCAGTATATCGTTATTAAATATTTAAAAGCTTCAGTTAATTTAATTGACTACGTTATCATTTAAACAATTTTGAAATCAATTGACTTGAATAGCAATTAAAACAACAAATATTTCTAATCTTGATCTTGGTTATAAAGTCTTAAAGCTCTTTGCGCTGTAAATCATAAAGCCGAATTTTTTAGCAGTTCTGATTGTTACACTTGAAAGAAAAATATGTGAAGATAATGTAAAGATAATGAACAGTATTGAACTCAAAATATTCAGACAGTTTGCTAATTTTTTAGATAATATGTTTTTTTTTTTTTAAAAACTTGTTACATATTGTATTATCCTCTTGCTAAGTCTATGGCATAAAAACACACAGATCGTTTTAATAAACAACAAACCAATGGGTAATACTAGTAGGTATAAAATGGTAAAAAACAAGACCTTGGTAATCTAAGAAAGAATCTTTATGTTTTAACTTTTTTAACGAATATCATATTTATTTTATAGATGTGTGTAAAAACTAGCTGTGCACAGGTTCCATTTTCACCTCCGTATGGGGATTACGTCTTCTAGCAAATTCAATACGCAAGACCATGCTCTCTGTACGAACAATTTCCGAAAAAAAGGAAAGCTAATGACAAATTAGTTGATGTAAAAAGGATATCAAATGCCTTGTTTTATGTTAACACTTCTAAAATTCTATATTCGATACACTAACCTCGTCTGCATATACAATAAGTCTATCATCATGTCGAAAGTTGGTGTTTTTTAAATGAAAGTTATTGATAGTTATTAGATTGAATGTTATTATTTTCACAATGATCTGTATACAGAGTTTTTATCTGATCACGACAAGGAACACACGGCGGTTGGGATCAATTGACAGAGGATGTTTACTCCTAGAATACACTGATTCCTAATCTGAGTTTCTCTGTTTTTTGCTCTCCCCTCGATTTTATTGTTCAATGGATGATGAGCTTGTTTTCTGATCGTATATTCATATATTTAAAAAAAAGCCAGAATTATGAATATCTCATAATATAATTTTAATCCCTACCCGTGCGATTGACAAGTGTTTCACTGTCCCCTAGATATTTCAGAGGTGGGATCAGGTGCCCAGGTGAAGTAAGCATACTCTGGCGATAGGTCACATGCCGCCTTAAGCCCTATGTATTGATCAGGCAGACGGGACTTTCTTTAGACATTTCAGTAAAACAAAAAAGCAAATGTGAATGGAAAAAGCAGCTTTACGTGCTCTTTAAAAGAAATGCAAAGAAGTTGCTCTATTATGCCTAGAGAAAAATCTTGATCGTTTTCATATAGACGCATAAGGTTAACTTCCCAGGTCACAGGAAAAACCTCGAGTGTCTAATAATTAAACATTAAAATAGGGGAAGATACATGTAAGAGTGTTCGTCTCATAAATCATGTTCAATGCAAATTGGGAACATCGTCAAAGTAGGGACTACTTGAAATACCAGAAGTAGAATCATAATTCATTTATACTCACCTTTTATAAGCGTATGAATTTCACTCGGAAATAAAAATGTACTTAATGTTTATATATTTCATCTGAAACAAAACCAAATGAAAATTCAAATAAACCATTTAGGTACTCACTGTACAGAAATAAAAAAAGGGACGCCTCGTTTGTAAGGAAATAAAAGCGTTTATCAACGCTGAACAGGAAAAAAATCAGGTAAAAATATGCCGTCTTATGTATAATGTACACAGTATATGGAATACCGGGTGATTTTTCAAAAATTAAAGGTAACATTTTCAGTCACCCGTAACGAAGTTTCTTGCAGACGCCATTTGATAACAGGGGAGAGAGGCATTTGGAGTTTAACATAAGTAATGAAATATTAAAACGTCTCCCTGCACATTTGTGTGGAAATTGTTGAACTGATATTGAAAGAAATATTAAAGAACAGTCGTAGGATAAACAAAAGCAAATATACACAACTTTAAGTTCTAGGCCGTTGAACAATTATTGAACATGTACCAGTGTAATCATGTAGTAATATTATTACAGTGTATACTATAAATCAATTAATGAAGGTTGTTAATATTGTGTATTCCGTACATATTCCTGTTTAACTCCTTCAAAAACTGAATATCATTGCTCTTTCAAAACCAGAATAAGTCTTTTACTAATCTATTCTGCTTTTCAAACATTTAAAACATAAATATCATTGCATTAATGATCGTCCTTTTCAAATAATAATAATAATAAAACGAATTTCAACATAATAGGTTTACCGTTTATGCCATTTAAAGGGCTCTATCTACATTCTGCACCCAGACTAGACCTTCCATTATATCAATCAATGAATGAATGAATTGTAAAGTTCCCCAACCGCCACCACTTTTTGGTACCATTGTAAATGAATTTTGTATGTAGTCATCTTTTCTGGTTATTTTTTGTTTCAAGTTGAACGCTGACTGGCTTTTCACACAAAATGTTAAGCATGTTTACTCACAAAGATTATCAATGGATTTCAACGTTTGCCCGATCTTAACAAGAAGCACATGCAGGAGGGACAGGTCCCCACGGGGTACTTACTCCTCTTTGGCACCTGAGTTTATTTTTGAGGGTCACGTTTGCTTTGTTCTAATTTTAAAATTGTGTTCATGGACTTCTGAAATTGATTATAACAGTAAACTGTTCGTTATCTCCATACAACATAATAAACAAGAGGCCCACGGGCCTTATATGTCACCTGAGTATTGTGTAACAACTTTCAAACAATTAAATTTGGTTCGTGTTTAAACCGGAGGCCATGAAATTCACAATTTACAATTTTGAAAGAGGCACCATTGCATATCATAATTATTAACTTAGCATGCTTACTCTATTTACTTAATACCCAGAGGTAGATCAGAGTAACAAAGAGAAAATGTACTTCCACTTTATAACCAGTTGTGCACCTCACCCCAAAGGAACCACTGACCCAGGGCCATATATTTCAAAATTTTGCAAATTTTATCATAAAATGGTTGATTAATACCAAAGAGCAGATTTCAAAGCATTAATTTATTTTCAGGCTATGTAACCACCCCCACCCCCTTTGACCCTGGAGGCATTAATAACCACTTTTCTAGATGCACCTTTCCTCATCATAAATATATATATACTTGGATCATTGGCTTAAAACCCAAAAGCAAAGAAAAATATTTACAAAGAATAAATGTATTTTTACTATATAATCAATAGAGCCCCAACGTAACACCAGAACCCCTGACCCTGGGGCCATAAAATTCACAAATCTGGAAGAGGCACTCTTGCTCATCATAACTATGTGCTTAGTTAGTTAATCTAATACCCAGGAGCAGAGAAGAAGATTTTCTAAGAAATAATGCATTTTCACTATATAATTTATAGAGCCCCGCCCTAACACCAGAATCCCTGACCCTGGGGCCATAAAATTCACAATTTTGGAAGAGGCACTCTTGCTCATCATAACTATGTGCTTATTTAGTGTATTTAATACCCAGGAGCAGAGAAGAAGATTTTCAAAGAAATAATGCATTTTCACTATATAATCTATACAGCCCCGCCCTAACACCAGAAGCCCTGACCCTGGGGCCATTAAATTCACAAATCTGGAAGAGGCACTCTTGCTCATCATAACTATGTGCTTAGTTAGTTTATCTAATACCCAGGAGCAGAGAAGAAGATTTTCAAAGAAATAATGCATTTTCACTATATAATCTATACAGCCCCGCCCTAACACCAGAACCCCTGACCCTGGGGCCATGAAATTCACAAATCTGGAAGAGGCACTCTTGCTCATCATAACTATGTGCTTATTTAGTGTATTTAATACCCAGGAGCAGAGAAGAAGATTTTCAAAGAAATAATGCATTTTCACTATATAATCTATAGAGCCCCGCCCTAACACCAGAATCCCTGATCCTGGGGCCATAAAATTCACAAATCTGGAAGAGGCACTCTTGCTCATCATAGCTATGTGCTTAGTTAGTTTATCTAATACCCAGGAGCAGAGAAGAAGATTTTCAAAGAAATAATGCATTTTCACTATATAATCTATACAGCCCCGCCCTAACACCAGAACCCCTGACCCTGGGGCCATGAAATTCACAAATCTGGAAGAGGCACTCTTGCTCATCATAACTATGTGCTTAGTTAGTGTATTTAATACCCAGGAGCAGAGAAGAAGATTTTCAAAGAAATAATGCATTTTCACTATATAATCTATAGAGCCCCGCCCTAGCACTAGAACCCCTGACCCTGGGGCCATGAATTTCACAATTTTGGTAGAGGACTCAATGCTCATTACATTCATGCCAATAGTTTGCCTGCTTGATGTCCAGGAGTAAAGAAGAAGATTTTTAAAGATTTCATTAATTTTAGTGGTTTTTGCCCCACCCCTCAGGCCCCAGGGGGGCAGGGACCATGAAATTCACAATTTTTGTTCCCCTCTACCCATAGATGCTGTATACCAAATTTGGTTGAAATTGGTTCAGTGGTTTTAGAGAAGAAGCTGAAAATGTTCAAATGTTAACACACGACACACGACGCACGACGGACGACGGACGACGACGGACGAAAACGGATAGCAATAGGTCACCTGAGTTACTTAGGTGACCTAAAAATGAAACAAAATAAAAGTAAAAATATTAAGATAATGAACAGTAATGAATCCCATTAATCCAGAAAAGAAAAATATTTTGAACAGAGCAAATATACAGACCCTAGATTTATCAGAAAGATCAAGTGCCTATGAAAAGTAATGCCTAGGTCACATTTAAGCCGATGGTCGGGCGACTAAATTTTTCTGGTCTTGTCGGTTGAAAGAACAGGATCGGCCGACACAGTATCGGGCGACACGGAGCAGTCACATTATTTTCTAGGGACACCGATGACTTGGATAAATAACACAAAAAAATCTTTTTTCTTTAGAAATCAGCAATATTTTTTCATAGATCTATATTCAGATAGGTGACTGAGTAATGTTTGCAAGGCAAAGTGGCAGAATCTTATAAAATTGTGACTCAATGTTGAAAATGTGTGTAAAATTTGTATGGAATTGCATAAAAACGAGAAATGGTGCATATCTAAGCAGTAAAGAATACTTAAGATTTCTTTATATCTTACGGATTAATTATCAATGTTATCTCCATTCAAAATATTTATATCAATCCATGCATCAAAATTTTGTTTGTGTTATGTATCCTTAATAGGTTAAATATTCACAAGTCGGCCAATCGTCGTCCGATCATCGAGCTCTGAGCTACAGTTTGATTTTAACCGTCGGCCGAAATTTTCAACACCCTTATTGTCCAACGACGGACGACCGACTTAATAAACTGACAGCCGATGGTCGGACGATGATCGAAGGTTGGTCGACGGATAACTGCATTTGAAGAAATCGGCCACCGACGCATGAAAAATTATAACTTGGACCGATGGACACAAAATTGGTCGGCCGACAAAAAAAATAGGTCAAAATCAGCCAAGACAACGGCCGATGAACTGACGACTGTCATCCGAAGAATCCCATTTTTGCTTCAAAACCCGTGGGCCGTTGGTCGTTTTTGGAAATGTGACTGGGGTTTAAACTACCATTCACGACCAGAAACATTCGCATTGAGTCAAAATATTGATTAGTTCAACAGAGTAATCTGCATTCAAGTTTGTTTTTTTTTAAACTGATTTTTTGTATAAAACATGTCAGATCTAGACAACATAAGACCCAAAGATACACTGAATTTTCAAACAATGCCATAAAGATTGTAATTTTACGAACGTGAGTTACGAATGGATTTATCCAATGCCTGGTCCATATCCAGTTCTTTCTTCCTGAGCTGACATAATGCTAAATACCTTTCCTTTATCTGCAACCGCAAACACCAAAGAAAATGATTCATATAAACATTATTCTGGACAAGCTGTGAAAATTGGTTTTGCTTCATTTTTTACCGAAATATTTTTATACCAAATCTGTTCGTTTAAATAAAAATCAGTTGTTTATTTTTGTGTTTTAGAAGTGCATGTTTTCAATTTTTCCAGTGAATTTGCGGTTGATTTTGTACTAAGCGTTCTTGTTATTTGTTTTTCTATGCGTTAATTTGTTTATATAGCGTATTAAAATTATATAGTAAGATTGAACAATGTAGAAGGAAAATGAAGATGAAAAGAAAACTGATGGTGTGTATGATGAACAATCAGAACGATAAAAAAGACAATTCAGTGAATCAAAACAAAAGCATGCCATAGGATTTTGTGAAAAGATAGTGATTATGCATAAAAAGAATAAATAAATTTTGCATTTTGGAAGTCCTGTTAACTATCATTATGTTGTATGAATTATATGGTCATTAGCTTAAAGTATCAATATTCTTTCTTTGTTTTGAATAAGTATTGTTAATTGTTTTCAGTAAAACAACGTAGTCTTTATTCCTTGGCAATGATAATGAGTCTTTGTATACATCTTTCATCTATCATTTTGTTAAATACACTAATTTAGCTTCCTGGATATTTTCAGTGTGTTTTATAGATATATTATTTAAAATCGTATTGCTTTCTTTTAGAATGAAAAAGTGCTGTAAGAAATAAATTCCCTACGAAGGAAAGAAAATTGTGAGTATGAAATAAGTCCTTTTTTTATGACTAAAAAGGGTTAAATCTCAGTGTGAAAATTCTGCAATAGATGTACTATAGAAGAAAGCGCGATATTATACTAATAATTGAATTCATTCATAGTTATTCTAAAAAACGTTTTGGTAGTGTATTGGTGTCAATTTCGCATTTATTGTTTCAGATTTCTTTGGAGTTATTCAGCAGAGAAATTTGTTTTGAAAATTACCTTGAAAATGATGTTTTGGATTACTGTTCTATTGCTGACTCTAGAAAGACACATTTCTACATCTCTGATTAAGAAGTCGCCCATCACATATTTACTGCAAAATCCGAATGAACACTATGATTTCACTCATCTGATAGCAAATGATTCCAAAACTGTTATCGTGGGTGGCACAAACTATATCCACGTGGTATTCACGGGTAACTTAAGCATAAAAGTCTCAAAGAAAATTGGACCAGAACTTGATAATCCTAACTGTATATATCTCCAAAACAAGGACTGTATTAAGTCAATGTACAATAGTTACATTAAAGTTCTATTAATTAACAAGCAAAGGCAGCCAAAGGAAGACGTGCTCATAATATGTACAACATTATTTCATGGCAGCTGTAGAAAAAGGAGTGCATCAACTTTGGAACTGCTTCCTGGTTCAGGCCAAAGGTCAGGACATCCAGTTGTGGCTAATAATAGCACTGCCTCTACTGTGGCATTCCTTGCACCAGGGCCAAAAAACTCAACAGCTATGTACGTCGGGGCCTCCTGGACTAACACAGGGTCTAGACCCATAAGAAGTCTTGTACCTACATTTAGCAGCAGAAACACAGTTGACTTTGATTTCACAACCTATCTTTTAGCACAAAAATCGTACACTATGGTGGATCAAACTTATGTTGATTCATTTCCCATTCGATACATATATGGCTTTGAATTGGAATATTTCAGTTATATCGCAACAATTCAAAAACAGACGTTAAAGGCAGATAACTACGTGTCCAAATTGATACGTGTTTGTCAATTTGACAAATTCTTCTATTCATACGCTGAAACATCACTAAGTTGTGTATACAGTGGAAAATCATATAATCTGTTACAAACAGCGCATTTAAGTAAAGCAGGGCGCTATTTAGCCAAGGAATTGGGGATACCAGAAAATGAACGTGCTTTGTTCGCTATGTTCGGATACGGCAATCCATATGATCCGAAAAACAGAGTCAAAGAATCAGTCTTGTGTATCTTTCCTTATAATTACATAAAAAAAGTGTTCACTCGTAATACACAGAAATGTTTTCAAGGCATCGGGAAAACTGGACCGGATCATCTAGTTTTACCAAATAACTGTCTATCTACAGTAAGATTTTTTTTTTTCAAATATAAATATTCAGAATCCAAAACTGAGAAATCTCAGCGAAAAAGCTATCATCGCTTTTTCCATGTCAATAGTGTCGCGCCTGCCAATTTCTGGTAGATTTTCTTACATATAAATTATCCCATTCCTAGAATTTAGACATTGGAGAAAATTATTGTGGCCAGTACGAATTCAACCATCCAATTGACGGCCCAGAACCTATCTCGTCTACAGGGGTTATCTCGTTAGATATCACTGCTTCTTCGCTGATGTTGACCACCACACAAAAAGGTCATACTGTAGCATTTGTCGGAACTAGCTCAGGTAAAATAAAGAAGGTAAAACATGTTCTTATTTCTACATACCGTCATATGTATTCTTAATTTGCATACTTGAAATATAAATCTTTTTTTTTTTTTTTTTTTCTTACAGATTAAAATTCAGACAAGTTCGATTGTAAAGGAATATGATGAATTATCTATAGATACTGGGATACCTATCACAAAATATATATTTAATGTTGATGATCAGAATGCCTTATATGTGCTTACTTCTAGGAAGGTAGATATTCCAAATGTCTACGTACTATACACGTACTTTTTTGGCGTACGTGACTTTACGTAGGTGCGAAAAAATTTGTCACAACGATTTTAATGAACGTTTAAGACATACACATTACAAAGTAAGTATATAAATAAGAAATAATCCTCGCATTGTCTGAGAATTTAAAAGAAACTTCATCTCATTTACTAGTATTTTGTTGGAAAAGTTTGTTTTAATAATTGCCTGAAATTTAAATGACCATAATACATGTAGCTATGGCTATACTATATCCAATCTCTTGAGTCTTTTTTCTTTAAATAATTTGTTAAAAACTTACCTCCTAAAAAAGTAATTGCGTGGTAAGTTCTTTCATCTTAACATTAATTAATGTCATATTGATAAGATACATTGCTCTTTTTAGCTTATCAAAATGGACGTGGAAACTTGTAAACACAAAGCTTTATGCGATGAGTGTGTTGAGGATCCATTTTGCGGATGGAATTCGCTGTCAAACATGTAAGGAGATCCTCGGTGTTCATATATATACAATTAACGATTAATTTTTTGATTTAATCAGATATAAAACATGTATCTTATTTCATTTATTGGTAAAAATGAAATAAGATACATAGAATGAAAAAAAATTTTAATCACCTATATAGTTCTTTTGATCTTTGTTTATGTATTATGTATTTACAGGTTAAAAAATCAAACTAACAATTTTGCTTAAGTTAACACATTTTAATGCACGAAAATAAATTTTCCTTTATGCAGTGGATATAATTCATATGATATCTGATTATATGCATATTTCTTTTTTTCACATTTATTTTTGAATATTTGTGATCAAGTATTTATAGTTTTCTCTATTGAAAGAATAAATTTTTTTTTTCCAGTGGATTAGTGATTAATTAAATTTTTGAGACCATGCATGTGTGAAAATGAGTATAATTCCAGCTGAAGCACCTTCCATATGCTTTTCTTAACCGTTAACTTAAGTCTTCAGCTACCTTTTTCACGTCGAATTTTACCTTACATTGTTTTAAATTGAGTTTCGTATGGGACAGCTTGTTGGTCGCATATTCGTCATAAATATTAGGTGAAACTGAAAGACTATAGCAGCTTGTGTACTCATTCAGTATTTCACTTGCTTCCCTCGCTTCGACGCCGTAATTTCTACCATAAAAATATATACGAAAAAAGGGAAATCAATTTTTAACAAAATAGAAAATATTACTCCTGTCACAAAATTAAATCAACTAAATTTTTTGACAACGAATTCACTTACAGGTGTGATACATTTAAAAGCAGTTCAGGAACTCTAGCATCTACCTCACAATGTCCGAGAATAGCAAATATGACGAAAACTCGTTCCAACAAGACTGGAATTGCAAGTGTTCTGTTACAGAATTTTATCAGTACAATTATAGTATTTACCCTTGAATGCATTTTTCTGTGAATAATAAATGTTCAGTATAATATTTATATATTAATTTGAAAAACTGCGATATTTTTTTTAAATTAAGAAGAAAGGAAATCCATGCAAAGATATGAAATAGAATTTCTGAATTAATCAAAGATTTAATAGTATTAAAATTAATATATATATACATATTTAAAAAAAAGAAACATTGAAAATTTCTTTTCTTATCGTAACTACTTTTTCCTTCTTCCATCAAATTGGGAATAAATATTTACTGAATATGTATTTCATCTTAACGTCTAATTTCAGTTTATCTTTTACTTAGGTAGTTCTAGGTATTGACAACTTGTCCATGCTTAAAGGAAATTACACGTGTCGATATAGCGGGTATGGTACAGAGATCATGACAGATTTCAAGAGGATTGGTAATGATAATGTACACTGCATCATGCCACAGATGGAAACATTACCATCAATTATAAACCAAAAAGGTATATAGGCTATATTAAAAGTGTCACTTTATTTAAAAATGAGTTTTTGTTTTATGTAAGGTAAAAAAAAAACGTATTCCTCGATTCATATAGTTTAAAGCATTTATTTTGATTTCCATGATGAATAACATACATAGACAAAATGGCCTCTAAAGACAGTTGTGTTGATGATATCTGTTCACGAATTATAATTTGTTACTACGGAATGTGATGAATACATTTTTTTATAGGTTGTATAAGGATGAAAATATCTATCCTGTTTGAGAAAAGACCAATGCTATCGAAATCCATCGATTTCTTTGATTGTGAATTGGAGGTAACCAACTCGTAAGTTTTGAAATGTGTGTCCAGTATTTAAAAAAACGATACGTGTGCACTCTTTTGTAATACTTGTACAATTTATCGTTATTACAGTGTTTATGATACGTTTATTTTCTTTAAAATTATTTTAGTTCCTGTTTAGGAGAAAATTGTACAGGTAAGTAAATTGTTTAAATTAAATTCGTAAAATCTTTCGTTAGGTATTTGAAAAACCTCAACAGTCATCGCTTTAAAAAAATGTTATTTAAAAGTATTGCTTGAAGTTAGACTAAAAAGAAAGATAAAATTTCAATTTAATGACATGTAGCATACTTGTACTAAATTCTAATTGCAGTTGATGGCTTTTGGAGTTCCTTTGGTGTTTTTGGAGAATGGAGTAGTTGTAATCAAACGTGTGGTGGAGGGCATAAAAACAGAACTCGATACAGATCCTGCACTGATCCCCCTCCGTCAGAGGGAGGGGAAGTTTGTCAGGGGTCACCCCTAGACAGAGAGATACAGCAGTGTAATACACAGGAATGTCCGGGTAGGAATCCTCGGTGGTACACGTATAATACTATAGATTAACGTTGTAGAGTGATTAAAATTTTTACATTTTTTTAATGTTTTATCAAGAGGGTGTTCGACTGGAAACAAAAAAACTGTGTTGTTTTGTTGGCGTTTATATTTATATTCCTAAGAGGAAGGAAAAAGGAACTCTGACGTATCTGAAGCTGATATACCGGTATATTTTATAATTTCTCAATGTTTGGTTTTATGTTTTTTTCTAGAGCTTTAGTTCACTTTATACCTTGCCCTACTTAGCTTAACTGTGTCCGGTTAGGAATCCTCGTACACTTATAAAACCACATATTTTCGCTGTCGAGTGACAAAATGCACATTTTTTAATGTTTTATCAAGATGGTGTTCAATTCGAAACAACAATGAAATTGTGTTGTTTTTGTTGGGGTTTTTATATATATTCTTAGAGGAGCTGATATATATTATATAATCTCTCAACGATAGGTTTTTATGGGGGGGGGGGGGGGTTTATTTCTTTATTTTTAAGAGGAAAAAAGGGAAACATTCAATCAATTTTTAACGTTTTAGTTTACCATTCTTAGCTTATGTGTGTTCCTACCATTAGAATAATCTCTGTTCTTCTGTTTTTCCTCTTTTAAGGACATCATTTAAATCTTATTCACAAATAATGTGATGTAACTTCTTATATTGAACTATATTCACTTTATACACAACTAGAAAAACATTAAAAGTTCAAAATTTAAAAACAATTGTAGACATCATCCTCAATTTAAATTGGTCACCATTTCAGTGTACGGTACTTGGACATCCTTTGAAGAAATTCTAGATTGGAGTCAGTGTAGCCAATCCTGCGGTAGGGGGACACAGAGACGTGTGAAAATAAGAACATGCATTCCGTCCAAAATCGAGAATGAAACGGAAATTTGTAATGGATCAGCAAAAGTACAATACACCCGTTCATGTTCGTCTAACCAATGCCCTTCGGGTAATCAAATGTGCATTTTTTATTTGGTCTCTTAAACTTTATAGTTCTATTACTTTAAGCACTTGAATTGCATTTGGAATCTTTGATTACATTGAAAACAGAATAATCACATTCTCTTTTTTCTCTTCCGATGAAAAAAAGATGACAACGGTACAATGAAGATACTAGCATTTGTTGGAGGACCAGTTTTGCTTATGTTATGTGTGTTCAGCATTGCATGCATTTGTTATCGTCGGAGAAGCATTGAAAGGATTGTTCATAACCAGTCATTGGCACCACAAGATCAGAAACTCCCACTGGAAGATGAAGAACCCAGTCGTTCACACTATAATTACATTACTGATATGAAAAGAGATAATGAAGACGACTTGGAAGTGTACAATGAAATTGTTGAATTGGATGAACTCGATTATTTAACACCCATAAATGCCGCAAACTCCTCAAATTCTGAAAATACTGACACTAATGGTACACCATTACTTGGTCACAACGGCTATTCCTCAGACAAGTATTACATGTTGAATGCTGTCAGACATGATAACCCTTACAGAGATCTAAACCATTTATTGACGGATGGAACACCGAACAATTTGACTTCAAACGAAAACAACACTTCTGAGGAAGTTCAGTAGGCAGGGCATCATGCGATATCACATGTAGCTGTTTGTCACAAGATTTGAATTTTTCACTATACATTTTAAAGCCATATGAATCTATTTCATAATTTCAATCATTTCTTTATCCTAGCTCAAAGCAGTCACATGAATTGCCGTTTTATTTTTTAAAGCTGAACACGACTCGTAAATAGACAAACGCCATTTTCGATATCATTTATGATCTACGATACATCAACCCCATGCAGGGTATACTCTTATTATTGTTAAATCTGACTGCTTTATTGTCACGGGAATCCGTGAAAGGCTTGCTCGCCGGAGCTTGCAATTTACATTTTATTGCAATTACGTGTGTCTGTTTTTTTTTTTGTATACTAGCTGAACTGACCTGTACAACTATAATGGTAAGTTACTTTGGTATCTTACCTTCCTGCATTAGACGAAATATCACGTTATCATTGTTTAACTATATATTATGTTTTACCTCAATTGATTACACTGAAAAGTGACTAAGTCCTGTCTTTTATATAGGGGTCTGCAGATATAGCGAGAATCCAAACAAAAATGGCGGACAATTCCTTTTATGAATCGTGTTCAGCTTTAACTAATTATTGGCTCGCAAGCCAATAAATGATCCTTAAATATTTTTAACATGCATTAATAGCTGTATACTTCATTGTATTTCAACTTCGTTTAATATGTTTTCTGATGTTTTTTGTACAAAACATTCGTTTTATTTGTCATTAACATACGTTCTTATTATATTTAAACAAACTGGAAAATGTCAAAATATATCTTGTGTTGAATAAATATTTGTATTTAAATAATAATGATATATTTGTATTCAAATATGATACGATACAAGTCTCGCTAATAAATACGCTTCTGTAAAGCTAAAATTCTCTCTTCCTTTTTGGAAAAAAAATAATCACCTTCATGAATTCGACAAAAATATATCTGTGCAAATATGTTGTCAACGTTCAAAGTTCTTTACTTTTACTTCTTTGTTTTAACACTAAAGTGAATTATAATAATAATAATAATAATAATACTGTGTATTTTCTTAATTAAAGCTTCATGATATGGCTCGTTCTATTCATATTTGGCGTTAATTTGGGGGTGGGATACACAACTGAATAGTTCGCAATGAAAAATGATATCAAATTTAACTTTAAATGTTTAGGGACATGGACACAGTTTCAACTCATTTTTTCTAAAACAGATATTTATGTTTACAATTCCTAATTAAATTAAGGCAATTCACATGATCAGCAAAATTTTAACATTATTTAAAATTGTTGATTAACAAAAGAGATACGGAACTTAAAATACTCAATAATGTAAACAATGCTCGTGTTTTCTTTTTGTTATCATATAGAAAATATCATATTTATAACAAAACGAGATTGAGCAAATCACTAGAAACTGTCTGATCGTATTAAAAATTAATATCTTTATTGAAAAAACCTGCTTTGAACGAATATTTTTTAACATATTTAACCTATGTAAACAAAAACATGGCGCGGGTCTTGTTTACATATCAAAGGTTTTGAGCTTTCAGTTTGTCTTTTATCTCAGAAATTCAATTTTATAATCAATAAAAATACCTTAGTTAAGTAATTGTTAACATAAAAAATGGAAAAATAAATTTATTTTTTTAGCTGAAACTGCGTCAATGTCCCTTTAGATACATGTTCATATTACTGGAGATTTCGTTCAGTTGTAGTTTGAAGCTCTAATCTGATTATTATCGAAGATCCTAAAAAGTATAACAGATGAGATAATGGTGCCAGACCAAGGTACACCGCCTCGTTTAAGATTTTCATTTCTATTTAAAACTTATGATTGTCAATCAATCCTGCTTAAAATGTATAGCTATCGTGCAACAACAGTGTTGAAAAAAAAGAATTTAAAAGGACACACACGTTTAACCTAAATATCTTCAGTCATGGTCAATACATGAAGTATTTAATTATAGACTTTAAACTGAAACTAAGAGAAAATATTATAACTGCAACTTAGGAAAAGTGTTTATCAAAGCAAACAATACCAGGAATTGGGTCTATAAGCATGACTTTTGGTCAACGTGATGACAGGAGAGCGGGAAGACAATCGCCGCCTTGTATCTTGTCTGGAGAGAGTCAAGAAGGAATTTAGCCGGGAAAATTTTCTATTAGAATATGAAAACCCCGTTGATTTTGTACAGTTACAGGTAAGTTAATAAAAGCAGAACGTTTCTAGGAAGTGATCAAAATCTCTAAAGGCAAACATCAGGAAAATGGAATTAAATGATTACACTGTATATATACTACTATTACTGTTACATATATCTTTCCTTTAGTTCAAGAATGGATTTTTTTATTACCGGTAATGTTTTTATGAAATGACAGTAGTAGTTAATTATATTTTGCATTATCAGATTATTAAAATCATCTGTCTGATTTCAAAATATGCCTTAATGTTTATTTTAAAAAATTGCAAACCTACAGTGTATTAGTCTATGTCAGATTAACTTTAATAAACATTTTATAATCATACATAGAGATTCTCTTTTCTTTTGGGATTTCTAATTTTATTTTCTGATTGTTTGAATATTTAAAGCTAGTAGACGCATTGCTACTGACCAAACACAAGGGAAAACATTACCCCAGCGATTACCCAAGAAAGTTTCTCAAAGATTTAAATATTATGTGCAATGGGGTTCCCACTGATATTTTTTATTTACAAGCTTTTAATCCACAAGTTTTCTAAATATTGTGTATAAGGTTCTTAAATCCTTTGCTCATTCATATAAAATGATACGTCAACTTCATGATTCTCTGAGAGAAATTTGAAATTTTTTATTTGTAAAATACAGATAATTCATTCATATACATGTTGCTTGCGTAAGCGAAATTAAGCAAAACAAAAGGACATTACAGCTTAAACAAATCTCTAAAGGCATTATAGATAAATTTAATCTTTTAGAGTTATCTCTCTTGGTAAAGTATTAATGAACCTTAATCCTGGCATATCTCCTTGCCACATTTCAGTATATATGCTCCCCTCCCCTGTTTTGTTCATTGCTTGGTCCATGTGTTGGGCAATCCTATAACATCTCCTTGTCATATTTCAGTATGGTCCCTCTGTGTTGTTCATCGCTTGGTCCGTGTGTTGGGCGATTCTACATGTACTCGGACTCGGCCTCCAGCCGTACTTCAACAAGAATTATGACCTTGACCTGAAGTGGTTCTCCTACCTTACATACTGGGGGTACACCACCTTGTGTGTGTTCACATTGTGTGACAGTGTGGCAACCGTCTATGTTCACATTCGGCGACAAGATATCATCCAAGGAGGTAGATTATATTTGAAATCAGCATGAATTATGTGACCTTATAACAATGTTTATTTCAATAATAATTAGATAGAATACATCAATATTTAGAACAAAAATTAAGAGGAATAAGAAGTTTTTAGGGCGAGTCATTTAAATATTAATTCTTATATTATTTTTTCTTTTAACTTCCAAAGCACAGTGAAGTTTTATGTCAAATGACTTTTTCAATCATATAACTTTAAAACTTCATCTATACACAATATTTCTACAACATATTCTAGAATGCAAAGCAATGCCGTGGTACTTGAAGGCAGTTTGGGTGCAGTTTAATGTGAACACCCCGGTAGCACTGGTGATAACCATTCTGTTTTACTTATTCATCCCAAATGGTAAGTGATATACAAGTACTTGTGTAGTGATTATTTCCAAATTATATGATTGGAAAAAAAGATGCTGAGAGTTACATGGTGTATATTAACTTGGATGTTTTATCATACTGTTCACCAAGACACAAAACAATGTTTCTAAAAGTACATGAATTCAACAAGGTAAAAATAAATACACTGGGATGAGAACTTTCATATGTAAAAATTAATCAAATGAAATGCATCAATTTCAGATACCAGTCCCAACAGTATACTTGTTCACGCCATGAACACTGTATACGTCAGTGCAAACGTCATCGTCTGTGCCAAACCTCTACGCATGCTCCATGTTTATCATCCATTTCTGTATGGCACAGTATATGTGATTTTTTCTGTAATATACCAGAAAACCACAGGTCGTGTGGTTTATACCCAGCTGGACTGGGACAACATGCCACAGACAGCATTATTTATGCTTGGAATTTTGCTGCTAATTCTCCCCTTTCTATACTTCATGTGTTTGCTTGTCACGAGGTTAAGGACTTTGTTACACACAAAGCTTTGTAAAATGAAAACTGCGTCCGTTTCTCCATCGGAATCACCAGACTGTCCAAATGAAAGCAATAAAGGAATCGTGCGAGAAGAAATATATAGCAACCATGTTCATAAAAATAAGGAAAATAAAACACAACATTTGAAAAAAGAAAATAAAAGTTATATACTAGCAAATAATGCAAATGATATGCAGTAAGAAATTTTAAACCTTCTGTGATGAAAAACAAGCCAAATATTTTTCACTTTAAATTCCATTTTTGTGCAAATTTGAATAAAAAATTAAAAACAATGCGGTGAAAGTTATTCATTTTATTCATTTAAACATGATCCAAGTTGTTATTTTCAAATGCTGTTTCTGTCCTTAAAGTTTTGAAATACAGCCTTTAGAACTTTCAAAACATCGTTTTCGGTTTTTACACCCAATCTTTTTTGGAAGTCAGATTAATGCGATTTCAAGACTTTTGCTTTGACAATCAGTCATTTCTGTAAATAAACTATACACTGTATATGCATTATTAAAAGAAGTAGAAGTTAGAAGACAAAAGTGCTTTCTTTTTAAAAAATTATTTGTGTGCAAAAGAAGAGGACACGTTTTTGGATTTATGGCCCTAAAAATGTAATGTTCTTAAAAAATATGAAATTGAGTTGAGTAGATAAATATCATGAATAATTAACAGTAAAGAATATGGCATGAAGGAGGACCATTCTGGAAATATGACGTCATTATGTTAAATTTGGAAAATTTCTTAGTTTAGTACAGAAAAGCCTCAGAATGACTAATACCTGTGTAAAAAAAAAAAGGACCTGCCACCGTCGCCCACTTCATTTTTTCGATATATTATAAATTACTTTGAAAAATCACATATTTTAATATTTTTGTTGGCGATGCATACAGAGTATATTTTCTAAAGAAATTTCATTGAAAAGTGATGTCATTTAAAACTTTTTTAAAGAAAATACTGGAAAAATGCACAAGTTAATGACGTCACAATTAGCATCTACATGTAGGAGGTCATGTGAGAAAACAATCTGTGGCTCTCCAAAATGAAAGTGTAATCGAGCGAGAAGAAATATATAGCAGCTATGTTCACAAAAATTTTTAAAAATATATACATTGTATTTCCAAAACAGTATTTTAAAAACTCACTAGAATAAAGACTTTTATTCACTTTTTTATTCTCCATCTGCACTTGTATTTCCATGTCCAATTAGTTTTGCAATATTCTACTTATAAAATTAAAGCCTTTCATTCAATATTAGTTGAAATGTATTCGAAGTCTATATTTTTTTTCTTGCAAGACATAAAAAACTAAATTAAAATGTTTCTTAAACTTTTTTAAAAATTTAAAAAATAAACTGCCAGATGGATAAAATATTCATGATGATTGGAAAATTCTGTAAACTGAACCAAACTGCTTTAATATATCTTATAACATAACAAGAAAAATATCCCTTTGTTTAAAAATCCAGATCAACCAGCATTTTAATTTTCTTTAATGTGTACATTAGGAAAGTTCTTCATTTTCAATATAATTTGGCACATAAAAAATTCAACAGGTATTAAAGGGACTTTCTGTTTGAAACATGATAAACATAAGCATAAAAACTCAATGTACATGTATGTACATTTTGTATATCTTTTCAAACACAATTCTACATTAATTCTTACAATCTTTTTACTATTAAGGGATAATAATCATTTTCTGATGGACTTGATCCTAAAGAGTCTCCACCTCAACAGGAAAAAATCAACACAAGTATTTGACAAAAATATCACAATTAAATTAAAATATAACAATTATGTTAAATGAAATGTTGTTTGAGTTGGATATTCAACCTCAAGTACATTAAATCTGTAGATTCTGCCAAATTCATACAATCTAAGTTAAACAATTTAAACCACACTTTAATTAGATTTTACTTTTATTGCACCAATAGTCCAAAATGATATATTCCATAGGTAAAGCCTCGTTCATGTCTTTTAGTATATCATCCCTTAATTACTGCAATTGGACGAAGCTTTATGGCCTTCCGACTGATTCCTGCCATGTGACCTAAATATAGATAAATGAGTTACTGGAAAAATAATACTAAACAATGTCAAAATTTTCATCACTGGTTAATTAATAAATGTATAACTTTCTTTCTAAAACTCAAAACTTATATTTAAATGAGCATAATAGTTGAAAAATTAATGCAAGAGTTAAAGTTACTTGAAATTGTTCTAAAAGTTTCTAAGATAAGGTCTTTACTGCAGTGAAAACAAACTTACATGTATCAACCACTTCAGTGACATTCTTGTAAGACTCTGGGGCCTGTATAGTGGTAAAGTAAAAAAAAATACAAAAATTATTTTAATTAACAAATACCTAAATAATTGTCAGTTATAATTGTCACTCACTGAAATCTAGTGAAACCAAACACACACAGACCTGACATTTACTCATTTCATTTGCTATATCTTCTGAATAAAAAAGAAAAAAAAATACACCTCCCTCATTACATCTTTTAACAAGAGACCTATGGGTCACATCTACATTGCATCACCTGAGCAAACTGGTTAGGAAAACATATCAGAACTCAGTTTTGTATTGAACAGTACAGTGAAAACTGAGTAAACAGACACCTGTGTAATCACACTGTAAATTCCAACCTAAAATTTCTTTCCTATTTTACTAATATTCACCATTTTACACTGTTCAATCCTACACACTGTCTATTCCAACACAAAATTCGTTTCCCAGTGGTGGTCAGATTTCACTGGTTTCACAGTATGCTAGTTTATGGGTGAGGCAAAATTGAATTTACATTACTTGAGGATGCTTCCATATCAGACAAACTAATGTATTTTCTGTTCTTAAACTCTAATTTAATATCTTTAATTCTAAATCCAAAGGATAAAACTTCCTGATACTTTCATATGTTATTACACAATCCTTTTAATACGGTAGATGAGGTAAGGAGAATTATAAATCATTTATTCAAAACAAAACTGTTATTCTGTACTGTCAAAGCAAGAATGCTTAACAAGTATAAAATTTGGATTACAATAAGAAATATGAAAACTAATTGCAAGATCTTTCAATTTTTATTTCCTAAAATAACTTTAAAACAAGAGGCCCATGGGCCACATTATTAACTTGGGTAATGCAGATCTTTAACTGCTAAATTTCATGCCCAACAACCCCCATCCCTTTTTTATTTTAAAACTTTAGAATCAAATACCCAAGGATGCTTCCAATGAAAAACAGCTTTCCTGGACCAGTGGTTCTTGATTAGAAGATTTTTAATGCTTTTTTCTATTTTTTTCTATGTAAAACTTGGATTCCCTATCTTACCCCCGGGGGTTATGATTTTAACAATTTAATATCTACACTATGCTCCCACATAATCAGCTCTCCTGGCCCAGTGGTTCTTGAGAAGAAGATTTTTAAAGATTTGTTCTATATATTTCTATGTAAAACTTGGATTCCCTATTGTGGCCCTGCCCTACCCCTTGAAAATGGTCATGAAAATAACAATTTATTATCTACATTACCCAAGGATGCTTCAACATAAGTTTCAGTAATCCTGATTACAATGGTTCTAGGGAAGAAGATTGTTAAAGATTTGTTCTATATATTTCTATGTAAAACTTGGATTCCCTATTTTGGCCCCGCCCTACCCCCGGGGGTCATGATTTTAACAATTTAATATCTACACTACCAAAGGATGCTCCCACATAAGTTTCAGCTCTCCTGGCCCAGTGGTTCTTGAGAAGAAGATTTTTAAAGATTTGTTCTATATATTTCTATGTAAAACTTGGATTCCCTATTTTGGCCCCGTCCTACCCCCGGGGGTCAAAAACAATTAAAATATTACAATACCCAAGGATGCTTCCACTAAGTTTCAGCTTTTGGCCCAAAATTCTTGAGAAAAGATTTTTAAAGATTTGTTCTATATATTTCTATGTAAAATGATTCCCTATTTTGGCCCCGCCCTAACCGGGGGTCATGACTAAAAATTTAATATCTACACTACCCAAGGATGCTTCTACATAAGTGTCAGCTTTCCTGGCCCAGTGGTTCTTGAGAAGATGAATATTAAAGATTTGTTCTATATATTTCTATGTAAAACTTGGATTCCCTATTGTGGCCCAGCACTACCACCCGGCGTAATTATTTTAACAATTTAATATCTAACTACCTAACGAGTTCTCCCACATAAGTTTCTATCCTGGCCCAGTAGCTTTTGAGAAAAGATTTTAAAGGTTTGTTCTATATATTTCTATGTAAAACTTGGATTCCCAATTTTGGCTCTGCCATATGGGTCAGAAATTAACATTTAATCAAAAAGGACTTCCACAAATTTCAGCTTTCCTGGCCCATACAGAAGAAGATTTTTAAAGATTTGTTCTATATATTTCTATGTAAAACTTGGATTCCCTATAAGCCCCGCCCTACCCCTGGGTCATGATTTTAAGAGATTTAAATCATACTACCCAGGATGCTTCCACATGTTTCAGCTTTCCTGGCCCAGTGGTTCTTAAGAAGAAGATTTTGTAGTGATCAAACCGATTTTTGTGATTATTCCCAGTCACGGGACTTGGCCCTTCATATTAACAATTTAAACTCCCCTAACACCAAAGTTGATGCTTTGACCAAGTTTGGTTAAAACCCACTTTCAAAGAAGTCGATAAATTGAAAAGTTTACAGACCAACGGTCACGATAGAAAATAATGTGATCAGAAACTTTTCACTTGAGCCTTAAAGAAATCAGGTGAGCAAAATTTAAAGGTAGATAAATATTATCAGATATTTCTGTCAAACAATACCTTTTCATTTATGGGAGAAATGATCATTTATAAATATTTATCAGGTATATACAATGAAAACCAACACTGTGTAATACCTCAGCTGTTTAAATATTTCAAAAATATTTATCTATAAGAATACAAAATGGATCACTGATTACAAAGAGAGTAAACAGACACTGCACATGCTCACTGACCTGGTAGACAGGTAACCAGGAAGTATAAATAACAAACCGAAAGTAGTTCCCAGACAGGTGAATGAAAGTATGGGAAGATAAATTGCTTATGATTTCCTAACAGTTAGTCTTCAAAAGTTGGAACTGAACAGGTATTTCAATACAGATTGTCAAAACAGTTTATCGTATAGATAACTATTATTAACTATGTCAAAATAAATATAATAATGGACACTTTTTAAAGAAATATATTTAGCAAAATTTACGGGGTTTTTTTCAAACTTATTTTATTTTTCCTATTTTTTTTATCCATCTAGCCTAATACTAATACGATACATAATAGCCTCAAGAAAACAGTTTGGTTCATGAGACCAAAAACCAAATTAAAGTGCACAATGCCCATAAACGCAGTGCATAGTATATATATACAGTATTTGCAAATTCTCCAGCAGACAAATGTATTTTTTCAACTGTTAGTATTCTCATCTATTAAAATGTATTATAAAGAAGAAGGGGGAGGGCTAAAAATTGTTTTCAGATTTCAGATCCTAAATTGATCAAAAAATTATAAGTATATGATTTTGAAATAAAGACATATAAAAATAATCATACATTGTAAAAATGATTTTAAAGAGGAAATATCACAGGATAATAAATTTGGTATACAGGTTAATAAATTTGGTGTTTTAAATAGTCAATTAATTCACCTACTATATGTAACTTTTATTTTTATGCGCCCGAATTTTTTCGGGGCGCATATTGTTTTTGTCTTGTCTGTCTGTTTAAAATATAACCTTCGCCATAACTTTGAACAGTGAGAGATGAGAAACTAACTTCAAATCTGTGTATTTGGTATGCATTCTCCACTAATAAAGCACTTTCAACTGACACCAAGATCAATGACCTTTTGACCTTGACTGTGACCTTTATGCTAAAAATAGCTTTTTTTTTACGAACTTTCACTCCAACTTTTGAACCATGAGAGATAGGGACTTCATATTTGTAATTCATACTCCACTAATTAAACAATTTCAACTGACACCAAGGACAATGACCTTGTGACCTGAAGTTTTGACCTAAATTTGCTAAAAATAATTTTTTGAAGTCATATAATTTTTAAACCATTAGGTAGAGATTTATATTTGGTATGCATACTTCACAAATCAAGTGCTTTCAAATGACACCAAGGTCAATGACCTTGTGACCTTGACTGTAATCTATATGCTAAAACTAGCTTTTTCGAACTTGTTACCGCCCGGCGCATAGTGTTTTACAAACACATCTTGTTTCACTTTAAAATTAACATACTTTCAGTTCCACTTGAGACAATGGCCACTTCTACTTCCTGGGCTCAGGAGGTCATCACCTGTGACCTTTGCCCTAAGCCCACTCAGCAGTTCTGTAACAATTGTCAAGTCAGTTTATGTGTGGACTGTGTCAGTAAACATGTGGATAAATTCAAGTCTCAAACACATGACATTGTTCATTTCACCAATAGAAAGATCCAACCAGTGTTTCCTGAGTGTGAGGTTCACCCCAACCAGAGATGCGAGGCTTATTGCCAGCAGTGTCATGTCCAAGTCTGTCTGAAATGCATTCTCAGTTCCCATAGTGGACACAAGATTGTAGAAATGCAAGAGATTTTTAATGAAAGGAAAAGGGAAATTGAAAAAGAAAACCAAGAAATTGAATCCATCATTATCCCAAAGTACAAGAAGAAAATGGATAATATAGCAGGCAAAATCTCAACATCTAGAGCCAAATTTGATAAACTGGAAAAAGAAGCAGAAAAGCACAGAAAACTTTGGCACCAAGAAGTAGATAACATCTTCAACAAAGTTAGTTCCTTGATCAAGTCCATGAGAGAAAATAATAATACTCCTCTACAATCCCATCAATCCAAGTTAAAAAACCTTATTCCAGATATGATGCAAATTGTTGAACAAAACAAAGAAATCCTAAAGACCAACAAAGTGTCTGATGTCAACAACTACAAATCCAAACTGACGGAATACAGAGATATACCTGCGGATGCTGATGTCAAAATTCCTTCACTGAATACAAAAACAGTCCAAGGGAGAGAACTCAGCATAGAGTTAGAAGAATTCAAGGCTACATTAACACAGTCAGCATATATATCTAGTCCGACAGATGAAGTCTCCCATTTGTCTATGAGAGAGTTATTAGACAAAGCCAGAGTGATAGCCACCATTCCTACTGAAGTTAAACCTCTACGGAGTGTGGCCTGTGTAGGAATAGATGAAGCTTGGGTTTGTGGTTCTGACAAAGTTATGAGGCTTGTTGACATACATGGGTCACTACAGGAATCTGTTACCACCTCAGATCAATGCTATCCTGATGACATCTCTGTGACCAAACAGGGAGAACTGATTTACAGTGATTATGGCAGTAAAACAGTGAACATTGTCAGAAGGGGAAGGTCTGAGACACTGATCACCACACCACAGGGCTGGACACCATGGGAACTGTGCTGTACAAAGTCAGGAGACATACTGGTCAATGTGTATAAAAATAAACAAAACAAAATACTACGTTATCAGGGGAAAATACTGAAACAGGAAATTTATAGAGATGAACATAGAAATGTAATTTTTGAAGAGGGATATTTTACACTTTTTATGGCAGAGAACAACAACGGAGACATCTGTGTCTCTGATCGTAATGCTGGCATCGTGATATTGGTAGACAAGACAGGAAGAGTCCGATTCCGATACGATGGGACACCAGCCAGGAGAGAGCAGCCAATTGATCCTGGACAAATAGTGACAGACTCCATGAGTCAGATCATTGTGACAGATGTAAATAATAACTGTCTACACATCCTGGATCAGGATGGACAGTTCCTGGGATGTGTGGACAATTGTGGACTAGATAAGCCTATTGGATTGAGTATGGACAGTGAGGGGAGGCTGTGGGTAGGATTAAAAAATTCAGGAGAAATTAAAGTGATTCAGTACATAAAATAACATACACTGTGTTGTATATGATATTACAGAATGACAGAGCATATTTTGTAAAATTCATATATATGTGAATGAATAGAAATTCATAAATAATTAAATATGCATGATTTATTCATGTGAAACATATCTGACAGATGAAAACTAAGAAAACTTCACATACAGTTTTTGCAAAGTATGAGTTCAACAATAAATGTATTCATTACATTTTTTTTCTATGAATTATTTTCAAGTAAGTCTATTAGTAACATGACGTCATACATGTATTATAAAATTTTTATGTGGAAAACAACGGAAATGAAAGTAGAATGAAATTAAAGAAATAATATTCATAAACTTTATAAAAAATTTTTTTAGAAAACTTGTTTTGATTTAAATCAAAACAAATTTTCTAAAAAAATTGTTTAAAGTTCATTTAATGAATGAATTTAAAAGATATCAATTTCTTTTTTTTTAAATTATTAGCATAAACAGTAAAGGAAATATTAATAATTCTCCTTAAAGGTGCATGGACACAGATTTGAATTTGATATTTTCTGTATAATGTCACGACTTAAATATTTTAATAGCATTTCACACAAAAATATATTAAAAATCTTATTTCATCTAAAAGTTATTAAAACTTCAATTTTTAGACATGTTTGATTGACACATCCTTTCACTTTCACAAATTTTAATTTAATTCTTAATACTTAAATCTGGGATCAACACTCGATCTTTTTCCTATTTCTTTTTTTATTTTTTTTTTTTAATTCTATAGATAGTTTTCGATGGCCCCAAATTTAGCAAAAGTTACCTTATGGTCGCCTAATTGGAGGTCGACACGGTGAGTTTTCCTCTTTGTCTTACCAAGTTTAAGAAAATATAGCAGAAATATTTGGTGCTCTAAATTTCACAAAAAAATTTTGAGCTTCTCAACATCAATTTTCATCAACAGCTACATGTATAGCAGCAGCATCAAATGAAACATAGTATGAAATCTTTATTAAATAATTTTTTCTTAATAAAAGAGGCTTCCAAAAATTTATATACTTCAGAAAAATAATGATTCCTAATTTAAAATCGCAAATATAAAAATTTAAAACTGGTTGACCAATGAAGGAATATGAGCATTTGGACCTCCAGTATGGCGGCCAACGGGAGGTAACTTTTGCTAAAATTAGGTCATATGAAAACTATCTATTATGCACTATATGTCAACAATCACAAAACCCTTTTGTCTCTATAACCTTTTTTTTAAATATATCCTTTTTGACTGATATATAAAAAAAACCTTTAGAATTTTAAAGATTTTGACAAGTGAAGTATTTACTATGTGTTACAAAAAAGTATTCACACTAACTGTATACTATAATTGTCAGTTAACAAAACTATAATATTTGTTGCATAATATGTGTTACACCATGTAAACATACCTCCTCCATGACCAACTTAGGGGAGGCAACTCTAATACTGATTCCTTTTTCCTCTAGAGCACTGAGCACTTCTGTGTAGTCCAGATTCCTCCTGGACTTAGCTCTAGACAAGGCTCTTCCCTAGAAGAAAATAAAAACTCAGTAGCTTATAATTTATCTCGAGACATGTCTTGTTCCTAGAAGAAAATAAAATCTCAGTAGCTTATAATTAATCTCTAGACAAGGCTCGTCCCTAGAAAAACAAGAGGCCCATGGGCCACATCGCTCACCTGAGCACTGTGGCTAGGAAAAAGTAGAAATTAGTTTATTATTGAAAAGTTTAAATCCAAAAGTAGTCCCATGACCAATCATGGCTTTGCTATTCTTGAGAAAAAGATTTTTAAAGAATTTTCCAATATATTTCATGTAAAACTTTGGTCAGCCATTGTGGCCCTGCCCTACCCCTGGGGGTCATGATTTGAACAAACTTGAATCTACACTACCTGAGGATGCTTCCATATAAATATGATCAATTATGGCTTTGTTATTCTTGAGAAGAAGATTTTTAAAGAATTTCCTTTATATTTCTATGTAAAACTATGTAAAAAATAATGGTAGACCAACAGATAGACTGATTGACAGACAGTAGCAAAGCTTTTCTTTTCTTCAAAGGGGGGCATTAAAAATACACACTGTATTAGATATACGAACTTACAGCTCCATGACACGTGGTGCCATAGGTTTCTTCCATTCCCTGCTGAGTCCCTGTCAATACATAGCTACAGGTTCCCATCGTTCCTCCAATCAGAACTGGCTGTCCTGTCAGCTGATCAGGAAAAAAATAGTTACTTACACTGCCTTAGGCATATTGGAATCTTGGCTAATTATGCTAAAACTATAAGCATAAATGATTTTGCACATTAATTTCTATGTCAGTTTTTTTTTTACAGTATTTAAATTTTAATAAAATTTCTACAAAATCATACAGGAGTTAGTGCATAAATGATTTTGCACATAAATATCTTTACCAATTATTTTTTTACAGTTTGTCAAATAAGATTTTCTATAAAATCATGAGAGAGTTACTAGACTTATATTTGCGAATATTGGCACTCGTTGGCTGTACAAAATGCACTTGCATGCTCATGCATTTTTAGAGGCGATGAATGCCAATATTCACCAATACAATGACCCTATAATATTGTCTGATCAAATGTTTAACATTCAGAGGTAAGCTTCTTATACCTGTCCATTATTTTACCTGGTAGTCCACTGGAATGAGGGGGTGGTGGGGAGGGAACGCTCGTGTGGAACCTTTCCTATGAACCAGTAAGGTCCTCTGCTTGCCATCAACAAAATGTTCCTCCACTTTGGCTATGTTGTGTGATACATCATAGATCATGAACATGTCCAGGTCATCTGGGGTACTATCAAACATCTTAGCAAAGGCCTGCACATAAAATCAAAGAACCAGATATCTATGACATAGAGTGACTTCTTTCATTCCTTTTAACAAAGATTTCCACCAACTCATATGTTTTCTGTGAAATCTGATTTATGAAAGTTTTAAACTTTATATTCTATCCAACGTAGCCTTTCTCTGTATTGTTTAATTTTACCTGCCGGCACAGGAAGGTCATGCTTGAACGATTCACCCATGCATAGTTGGCAGCTGCAGCCATTCCTTTAAGGTAGTCTTGACCTTCAGGGGAGTTAATTCTGGCACAGGCCAACTGTCGGTCATTTACATTAATGTTGTCACGCTTCATAGCTTTTTCCATGGCAACCAGTGAGTCTGAAATAAAAGCAAAATATTTATATCTACCACTCTTCATTACAGAAATCATTTTATTATTTATTTTAGGTATGTTACACACACACAGAAGCAATATCATTTTTACTACTGCACAAGTGTAAAGTAAAATTTCTATTTTATTCATTTGCATTCAGTCTCATCTTTTCATTATCAATATCATTTTTAATGATATGCAAATTAATATTTTTAAAAACATTTAAACCAACTGGTGATATCATAACCAACAAAGAGAATCTGTGCTTTTAGGCAATCTGTTTAAAATCAGATATTGAATCAACTCCAAAATTCTGATAGTTGTGATTTTCTGAGTGTATCAACGACCTGATTTAAATTAGATGATTAGTTTTACCTAGTGATCTAGCCCGACCTGATTTTAATTAGATGGTTAGTTTTACCTGTAGCCACCTGGTGGCCCAGCCCGCGGCTCCCACAGTGGATCATCACACACACCTGGCCCTTAGACTCGATCCCCATCTTCTTCGCAGCGAACTTATTATAGATCTCATCCACCACCTGTATCTCTGCATAGTGGTTACCTGCACCTAGCGTTCCCAACTACAACAGGTAAAATACGTATTGTCAATTAAAATAACTGTACACATATCCACATAAAGAATGTTTCATTAATTGAAATTAAGAAAAAAAAACTACAAGCTTGTTGTTGCAATTTTTTTCAGGTTTGCACCTATCTGTACAAACATGTACCCTATTTTTCCTCATGTAACATTATATTACTTTGCTCTATTGCAACAGAATCATATTAAGTCTTTGTTACTTAATGCATCTAGATACTACAATAATTAGAGATGGCAACCTTTGACTAGTTAACTGACTTATCAGTTAGAAAAGTTGTAGCCTGTAACTATTATATAGTACAACATTTTGATACAGACCTATGGGAGGCCCCTTTTCTTGGCCCTGCTGCTATTATTTAGATACAGACCTGTGGGAGGCCCCTCTTCTTGGCCTTGCTGCTATTATTTAGATACAGACCTGTGGAAGGCCCCTTTTCTTGGCCCTGCTGCTATTATTTAGATACAGACCTGTGAGAGGCCCCTTTTCTTGACCTTGCTGCAATTATTTAGGTACAGACCTGTGGGGGGCCCCTCTTCTTGTACCTGCTGCTATGTTTTATTTAGATACAGACCTGTGGGAGGCCCCTTCTATTGGCCCTACCGCTATATATTATTTAGATACAAACCTGTGGAAGGCCCCTTTTCTTGGCCCTGCTGCTGACTTTGGAGGGATCGGCCTGTAACATCCTCCCGTACTCTTCACAGTGTTCTTTGTCCTCTGCCCAGGCATACCCTGTAAATATAGACAGTAAAAACTACAACACCCATGTAATCCATTCCACTGTCTGATCTTCATTTTTATCCCCATTTGACTAAATTCCATGTTCTCTACACTCTGTTATCCTACACTCTCTATATTGTAATACAAACAGGTTTCACTGTAGTGTATCAGACATACCTTGATAAAAAATATATAGGACTATATGTAAATCCGATTAAAATTTAATATCAGACTTATCTAGATAATGGAACTTATGTAAATGAGATAATTTTCATTAATATAAAGTTAAGTGTAAGTTAGTCTAAAACATTGTCCATTATGGAAAAACAACAACATATTTAATCAATAGTAATTCCTTCAGATTTCCTTTATGTATAATTTCTTTTGTCATCAAAACAGAAATACCTTGACCTAATTAAATGATATAAATAATACAGACCTTCCCTGAGTGACCAGTCCATTCCCATCTCTAAGGCCTCTTCTAAATTCCTGAAAATCCATTTCAAATTTAGAATTGGAGAGTATTACATGTAAAAATATAAACAAAAAGAATATTATAATTAATATAAATGTAATACATATCAAAAATTGAGAAAAAAAATCAATACATGTAATAGAACTTTTAAAAAAAACTAATATTTGGAGTGAAGTTCTGTTTTCACAGTCACTTGATAGAAAATCAAAATACAGGACATAAACTGAATAGCTAGCCAAGTTATTCACGTTTTACCTGGTTTTAAACAATTTATATGCTTTTATTTAAATCTCATATATTATGAGCCTTATAGATCAAATTTTTATGTCTCAAAAATAGGTGCAAACGAAAATGACACTCTCAAATCAACTTTTTAAAAAGTCAAACTCCCTCTGGGAAATAGAACACATCGTAGGATTCCCATTTATCATAATATGGCAAATTCTCTTGTCTAGACTGCATTTAGGGAACTGCAGTTCATCAAAATCTCATGATAGATAATTCCTTGTATATTTGCGACTTTATTTGACTGGTGACAAATCTACATCCATGACAAGCCAGCCTAATGATATCATTATAAATCCCCCTGGTTAACTTTTTGCCGTTTATGTTTCCACTCTTTGCTGTATATGTCTCCAAAGCAAAGCCTCTCTAATTACTTCCTCAATCCTCATATGATATTTTATCAGGGCTGTTAATAACTCTATGAAGTCTGAACATTGATTTTTGCTATTGCCTCTCTTTGACTTGTAATGAGTTAATTTGTTAATAAGAAGAATCTGAGAGATATATATCAAATTCAAGCACAATAATAAACTGGACATAAATACATGGATTTTCTCATTGTCAATACACCAGTGGTCTTGTGTTTTAGTCAACACCAGGTGTTGAGAAAAGACAAGATGATAAAGGGTATCCAATGACAGATTTTTCTCAATATTCACTGTATACATTCCAACTGCTAAGTAATTGTTTTTACATTGCATTTCCCTTAAGTTCGAAATGTAAATTTTCATATGACTAAAAAGTTCTTCATCCACAAAATCATTAGAACCAACATTTTTTCCTCAAACCGAAAATTTACTGTGAAATCACTAATTTTTGTGAGGGTTTAATTTTTGTTGTTTTTGAGGCATGGAGAGATCAAATGAAAGTTTGTATAAGGGTACATTACTGCTAAACATTCTTCAACCACAAAATCAAGTCCCCACAAACCAATAATTTTTCTTCATACCTCTAAAATTTGACCCAATGAAAATATGTGATTTTACAGTATTAATGTAATGGTTCTTCTTACTGAGCAGTCATTGGTATGATTCCTTTGGAGCCCACACCCACTGGGATGTGATCAAACATACACTGGGCCAGCTGTTCCTTCACGGGAGCCACATCTTTCTCATAAAGATTGGTACGCAGAAGACGAACCCCACAGTTAATGTCAAACCCCACTCCTCCAGGGGAGACCACTGACTCGGGGTTTCCCATGTCAAAGGCAGCCATGTTGCCTGTAAAGAAATGATAGCCACTGTATTGCTTGAACAGATCTAGGGGAGCTAGGGGGTGGGGTGAGAGACCTGAACACCCCTACCACAGCTGCTCCCCCAAGATTTTCAGAGCAATTTAATTTAGGCAACAAAAAAATTTTCTGCAAATCAAATGTGTAATAAATCAATTCAAGATTAAGCTTTATAATAATTATGATTTGTGAATAAAAGAAAAATGTTCAGCAAAAAAAAATTAATTACCATGATTACTAAAATAACAGCAGAATTTGATTAATGGCACTTCTATATAAAATATTAATTTTAAATCAATTTTAAGATTTGATCTAATTATAATTTTATTATATTGGTAAATATCAACCAACTATTCAGCATAATGATATAATTTTTTTTCTCAATAAAGTAGAATTTTAAAATCTTAAAGTCTTTTGATTGCTATACCATGTTCTTTGTAGCACTGCATTTTGCCAAATGATTCAAGTTTATCTGTGATGAGGGTTTAAATTTCATTCACTTACAATAACTATAGTTTTCACCAGTTTTCCCTGCCGGATGTGAATACCTAATTAGGAGGCATGTCAACAACAAACTTCAAAAAGGCATCCATACTTTCATCTTCAATATCACGCTCACAGCTCACCACATTAAAATCAAATCAATACTAGTAAAAGTTGAATTGCTTCTTCACAAGGGAGACGAGCTTTATTTAGAAAAACCAACCGACAACCACAACCCCCCCCCCCCCCCGAGAAAATAGTAATGTTTTTTTTAGATTTAATAGCTTACAATCTAAGTGCCCTCTATACTACTGCAATATGTCTTGATAATTGAATTAACTTCACTAGAAAAACAAGTTCTTGAGTCAGCAATAAGAAGACCAATTATGGGTTCCCTAAATTTGCCTTTTTCCTCTTCAAGACTGTATTTAAAACATTGATTTCATATTTTACTATTATTCTGATGAGAAAAGCTTTTTTTTTTAAAACCTTTTCTTCATAAATATTTGAATTGTGCCTGTGATGGTCATTCTAAAACATCTTCTTCTTTTTCAAGTAAATGAACTAGAAAATCTTCTACTTTTTTTTTCTTTATTAAATTTTCTTGAATCGTCATGATCATAATGGGATCTCTTTAAATCATGTGATTAAATACTAGTAAAAAGACAGACTTCTCTAAACATCCTAAAAGAAAACATCAATTCCTAAAATTTTATTAAGGCCTCTCTCCATTTCTTTTTAATTTTCTTTCAATAAATTAATAACTGGAAAGCTTAATTTAAAATCTGATTTTTTTTTGGGGGGGGGGGGGTATTCTATTTGTTGTTGTTGTTTTCTTGTATAAAAAAGGATTGCAATGATTGCTTAACAAAGACTTAATATAGAAATAATCTGCCAGTAACATCACCTTACCTATCGCAAATCCATAACCAGAATGAACATCAGGTAGCCCTATAGACTTCTGTAAAACAAAAAATAACATAGATAACATAGACTTCTGTAAAGCAAAAATATCATAGACTTCTGTAAAGCAAAAATATCATAGACTTCTGTAAAGCAAAAATATCATAGTCTTCTGTAATGCAAAAATATCATAGACTTCTGTAAAGCAAAAATATCATAGACTTCTGTAAAGCAAAAATATCATAGACTTCTGTAAAACAAAAACATAGGTAATCAGAGATTACAGAGCTCACCTCAACGAATGTTGTCTGTAAGTAAGGCAAAGTCACACAATTAACCAACAAGAAGTGTACATTCCAAAAATGAAAATATTTAAGCAATTTTAATCTGATTTTGAAATAGACCTACACAAAAAATTTAAACTAGTTCTTCTTCATGAAAATGTAATTAAAATCCAGCATCTGAAGCAAATTTGAGAGTTTTCATCTCTTGATGCAACATTTGTGCAAGTTTGGTTTATACAATGTTATATAAGCCTTATAGTTTTTTGGTAATAGACCTGCATCCATAACTTTTACCTGGTCTATTATCTGAAAATGTTCAGCATCCGAAGCAAGTCCATTAGTGTGCATCCTAAGATGTATCATCCATGCATGTTTGCTCATTATAGGGCTCATAGTTAATTGGAAATGAAACATGCATCAAAAATTAACATTTTCACTCATCAACAAAAAGTAGGTCAGATTCAGCATCCGAAGCAAGCCCGGTAGTATGCATTCTTATATGTATCATCCATGCAAGTTTTGTCATTAAAGAACTCATAGTTACTTGGAAATGAATCATGCACCAAAAACTTTAACCTATTCACTCAACTGGAAAATGTAGATCAGATACAGCATCCAGGCAAGCCTGGTAGTATACATCCTTATATGTATAATCCATGCTAGTTTGATCAACATAGGGCTTATGGTTACTTGGAAATGAAACCTGCACCAAAAAATTTAACCTGTTCACTCAACCAGAAAATGTAGGTCAGATTCAGCATCCGAAGCAAGCCCTGCAGTGTGCATCCTTAGATGTATCATCCATGCAAGTTTGGTCAACATAGGGCTTATAGTTACTTGGAAATGAAACCTGCACCAAAAACTTTAACTTGTTTACTCAACCGGAAAATGTAGGTCAGATTCAGCATCCGAAGCAAGCCCAGCAGTATGCATCCTTATATGTATCATCCATGCAAGTTTGGTCAACATAGGGCTTATAGTTACTTGGAAATGAAACCTGCACCAAAAACTTTAACCTGTTCACTCAACCGTAAAATGTAGGTCAGATTCAGCATCCGAAGCAAGCCTGGTAGTATGCATCCTAAGATGTATCATCCATGCAAGTTTGGTCAACATAGGGCTTATAGTTACTTGGAAATGAAACCTGCACCAAAAACTTTAGCCTGTTCAATTAACCGTAAAATGTAGGTCAGATTCAGCATCCGAAGCAAGCCCTGCAGTGTGCATCCTTAGATGTATCATGCATGCAAGTTTGCTCAACATAGGGCTTATAGTTACTTGGAAATGAATCATGCACCAATAACTTTAACCTGTTCACTCAACCGTAAAATGTAGGTCAGATTCAGCATCCGAAGCAAGCCTGGTAGTATGCATATTTAGATGTATCATCCATGCAAGTTTGGTCAACATAGGACTTATAGTTACTTGGAAATGAAACCTACACCCAAAACTGCACCAAAAATGTTAACCTGCTCCAAAAACATTAACCTGGTCATTCCTTTGCTGAAATTGCAGCATCTGAAACAAATTGACTGGTACAATGAAACACACTAGAACCATCTTCCATGCATGTCTAATCAATATAGGACATAGAAGTACTTAAAAAGAAAACTGCTCCAAAAAACTTAACCTTAACCTGGGACGCCAACGCCGACACCGACGCCGACACCGACACTGACGCCGACACCGACGCCGAGGGTATTACATAAGCTCCCCCAACTTCGTTGAGGTGAGCTAAAAAAAATCATAGAGATCCGTTTAAAGGTATAAATCATGTACATGTACAATAGATTTCTGTGTTACAAAATCTATCATCAAGATCCATTCATATGATGAAAACAAAAGTCCTGTGATTTCAGGATTTTTTTTTGGGGGGGGGGGGGGGGGAGGCCTGAGTAGTCAACACATAGGTAATAATATGTTTAAAGTTCATCATTAAGAAAACCTGAACCACATAATTGAAACATGGACTTTTAATACCACCTTTTTTATATATTTAATATCACACTATTATTTCATATTTATATCACAGAACTTGTGTTCACTGGTTTTATTACAAAATATTGAGTTATGGACAAACCCTCCCCCTTCCCTTTTTAAAATAGTGGATGCTTAGTTCATATAATGGCTATTGTGCATTAATCCTGACTTCCACTTTTGCTGCAGAATCTTGAACCCCATCTCATCCCACAGAAGGGGCAGGTTCAAATCAAAGATTTTGTGCCTCAAAATATTGAACCAAGTTTTTCAGTTCTGCCAACCCCTTCTGATTGAAGAGAAACTTAAGTCAGAATCTGAGTCCCCATACACAGACTTCCAGCAGCAGAAAAGACCTCAATCAAGGCAGTAGATGGCTGGTCAATTTAAAGATGATTAAATTAACAAAGTAACAAATCATAACATATGTATTTACCAACCATCTTAGCTAGCCAAGAGTTTCTGATACGCTACTCGAGAGATCTCCTCATAAGCCCTTGGCATACAATGTTAAAAATAGTTGTCAAAGAGATCTTTTTCTCAAATTGTGATTGGAGTGGATCGACATTGATTGACAAACCAGCAATTGTATAAAATTGTAAATGAAAATATCTGTGTTCAGGGCAATATTTTAACTCTTTACTCTCGGGAAAGTAAAGCGCAAGTAAACAACGCCCACATGCTTTTCTGTAATAGTAAGATCCAAACATGAGAATTCAATGTGTTAAATAAAGTTACCATGATAGTCTTACCCCAACAATTCCAGGAAGAGAAGCCACATTTGCGATCTGTTTCATTCCCGGCAGAAATCCACCATACCCCTGACTTCGACAGGACTGTTTTAGTTCATCAAACATCAATTTTTCCAAAGTTTCATTTGTATAAAAAATGCCCTCCACCTAAACATAAAGAGTAAACTGATCAGAGACCCGAGGAACTAACAAAATAACAAGGCATGTATTTGTCCAGCTAATAATTGTACTTAAACACCCTCTTGACTGTCACACAGTAAGCTATAAAACTTCAGAAAGTACTGGTCAGAAAAAATAAATTCTGACCTTTGATTATATTTTTAACTCATATGATTCAGTAAGATATAGTGGTTTGTACATATTTCAATGTTTATTGAAGTTAAATTCATAAAGACCTGCTAATAAGTAATAAGCATTTATGACAACTGGTGGACAGATGAAACCATCATTTTATTGCTAATGATTTCTTTTTGCTGCTTAACAGTCAGGGGTGGTACTGAAATCAGTCATTTTTGAAAATATATATATAATATTTCTTCATACAGTATATAATGTACACAATTTAATATTTTTTAAATATAATCAAATATCATATTTCCATTTCTCAAGTCAATTTTCGTAATTCCCATTTACTACAGTAATTAGATATAGTACACTATCCTGCTTTAGACCCTTGTGTAGAGAATCATCTTGACAGGTAACTGAAACCAAAATAATTTAGTGCGCTGTAAAACTAATGAGATAATTAAGTGCGCCCAGACCTAACAATTTGATAAAAAATGATGAAAAACAGTCATTTTTAATATCAGAGATAACTCTATTTCTAAAATAAATTTCAAAATAGAAATGACTGTTTTTCATCATTTTACTAAAAAATGATGAATTTCCATCATTATTAAAAATCAATTTAATGACTGAAAATCATCATTTTTAAAAATGATGGATTTCAATCACACCCCTGACTGCTTAAGGACAGGTAAACAGTCTAAATTTGGTTGTATAATATACATTTATAATAAAACTTCATACAGTTATGTTTGTAACCTTGGGGAAAAAATTAATATTTTTTATGGATAATCAAATATCTATTTATTTCTACAATTGGGAAAAGTCTTCGTAATTACAATAAATTTAACTAAAATACATCTAATTAACAACTTGACTATTTGTCTTGTTTTCAGTCAAAAAAACTACTTTAACAAAATACTTTTGTGGTGCATTGTTTGTTGTTCAAATAGAAAATATTAAAGTTAGATTTAATGCGAACAGTATACTATAAGTGGTTTTAATTCGTGGAGTTAAAATTTCATGATTTCTCAAAAAATACCAATCATGATTGTTTTAATTTCATGATACAAGACATTAATTCAAACTTTGTATAAGCGCTACAACATTTAATAAACAAGAGGCCCAGGGGCCACATCGCTCACCTGAGCACACCGGCTTGAATTTTAACTAGTGTTGTCACGATGATCGATTTATAATCGATGATCGGTCGGAAAGGCTGTCGATTTTAGACAATCGATTGGAGATTTTAACAATCGATTAATCGGTATATTTCAGCACATATCTTTTTTACAGTTTTCTCACTTTTATTTCAAGAACAGGCTCTTGTTATCAAAATATATATCTTTCAAGAGTTGTCCTTTACTATTTTAGAATACACTGTACTTAAAATCTGTTTAAAATAAATCAAAAGATAATGATATTTGTATTTCTAAACTGAAGAAACTAAACTACTTGTTTAAATAAAATATATTAATTTTCAGTATTTGGGGGAATTCACCTGTCATTTCATACGGAATCACAAGGAATTTGCAATATTAAATGTCTTATAACAGTTTAAAAAATTAATTCCATATACATTTTACATGATCATGTAAATTAAAACCTGATCTGTCAATGCTTACTTTTCCCAGGCCAAGTAATTCCTAATCATAAAAAAATCTGTATTACTGATCAGAAATAGTTAATCAGACTGCATATATACTGTTTTTAGAATTTCGATCTGTACAATGCACCTTTACTTACATTATTTAACAATAAAATTCAAATTTTTATAAAATCTAATGCCTATTTTATGCAAAGGGTTACCGATTCGATTATTGGTCGATGATCAGTCGGTTAGGGTCAACCGATATTACCGATTAATTGATTCTGAGTTTCAACCGATTTGACAACACTAATTTTAACCCACCCCCCCCAGGGGGTCATGATTTGAACAAACTTGAATCTACATTACCTAAGGATGATTCCCTATAAATATCTCTAAGCATGGCTTTGAATACTTGAAAAGAAGATTTTAAAAGGCTTCCTTACATATTCCTATGTAAAACTTTGATCGGCCATTTTGGCCCCATCCTACCCCCGCGGGGTCATGATTTGAACAAACTTGAATCTATATACACTACCTGAGGATGATTCCACATGAGTTTAATCTTTCCTGGCCTAGTGCTTCTTGAGAAGAAGATTTTTAAAGATTTTTCCTATATATTCCTATGTAAAACTTTGATCGGCCATTTTGGCCCCACCCTACCCCCAGGGGTCATGATTTGAACAAATTTAAATCTACACTACCTGAGGATGATTCCACATGAGTTTCATCTTTCCTGGCCCAGTGGTTCTTGAGAAGAAGATTTTTAAAGATTTTTCCTATATATTCCCATGTAAAACTTTGATCGGCCATTTTGGCCCCACCCTAACCCTGGGGAGCCTTTGGCTCAGGTGAGCTAAAAACTTTGTTAGCATTCACAATGGGTTTAATTTCATGGAAAACTAATTTAATTGAGAACTTAGTGAAGTTAAAAGTAAAACCATCGTGATTATTTGCCAACCTACAGTATTCTTCTAATTTTCTTACATTCATGTTATCCACAAAGCCTTTCTTTATTCTCCAACAACAATTTCCAATTTTCTCCAAATACTTCAGCTCATCATTGTATGTTCTCACAACCATTTTGACAACTTTTATCTGAAAAATGGAGTCATGTTGATCTTATATAAAATGTTTAAATTCCTTTGAGTTGTACAGGAAAAAGGATAAAAACAAAAAGTCTGTGAGCCAATGCTCACTAGAATAAAACCCACTCTGATGTGAATATCATGTCAATACACAAATTTTAAGATTGTCACTCTCCTACGATGGAGGTGCAGAAGGTATCCATTTCAGCATGGAAGTGGAACAGGTTGTTAGCATCAGGAACACCTTGGGCCTTTCACAGAAAAAAAAAAGTTTTCACAGAAAACAGTTTTTCTTTGAAAGGCCTGAGGTATTCACGATGAGGTTGTTCTAATTAGTGTGTACAAATGTGCATATATAAATAATTCTACAATTTTGATGGCTTTTAAAATTCATTTAATGATATAAAAAGATAATCTGACATGTTAAGCAATGATGCATTTGATGACTTTAAAAAGCTCAACCATATATATTTACAAATCTACCTGATACTGGAAACAAAAAGAACTGTCATAGTCATGCCTCTGCGAAGAATGTGATAAATTTCAAGCGTCTGCAATGAGCAGTTGCTGAGAAAACTGTGACGAAAATTTGTATGTATGGTACTGGCAGATGCCTAGATGAACAGGCAATTGACATAAAAATTTAACAAAAATGAAACTTAAATGTCCATGACATGACCATATGACATGCCTCAACAAAGAATGTGATAAAATTTCAAGCATCTGCGGTGAGTATTAGCTGAAAAAACTGCGACGTAAATTTGTTATGTAATGGTACAAGAAATTGACGGATAGACAAACACTGATGGACAGACACACAAGGATAGAACAGTACCCCCCTCCCCTCTCCTTCGGAGCCGGGATATAAATATACACTGGTCTGTAGTATTTATAGTTTTATTATCGAGGAATTTCGAACTAATGCTAATCGTCAACTCAGCATTTTTTAAGAAACATTTACAGACTTAATGTAAACAAAGACTTGTCACTCTGTTCATTGATTCTGTGATAAAATTATGTTCATTAAAAATTTATCTTAGAATTTAAATTTTCATTAATAATTTGCAATATTTATGAAAATCATGTTTCAATATTTACCTTTTTTTTTACGCAATTTCGTGTTACTTTCACTTTTGTATCTCCTCAATCTGAAGAGCTCCTCCAGGTACTGCTAACTTGAACGCAAAATGTTTCGTTTATAAATAATTTCGACCAAAAGTAAAAATAAACCTGTTGAGCTTGAAAAGCAGAAAGATAATTTTCATTAAATTTTCTGTATATTAATTTCTGGTATAGAACAAATAAATGTAAATGCGTCGAATTGGGACAAAGTGCGCATAATTTTCAAAATGTTTCAAAATATTCTGTTTGGACCCTACTAGTAGCAAAGCGTAAAACATAAAAATGTAAACAGATTTTCGTCTTTCATTTAGGACATGGCGAAATCAAGGAATTGGTGACGATAATCCCATCAATTTGACATATATTATACCGACTTTAAACTCAAATATATGGCTTCCTAAGTAATCTTGTAGCGGTAATAACCTAGATAATGGTAAATTTGATGAGATGTGAACATTTTCTTTACCATAGAATTACAAAACTTATCGATTATGCCAGGACAAGCAAGGATTTTGTTAAGGTTTTTATTACCCAGTTAATTGGGCATGATAAGAAGCCTTATCCATTCTTATCAAGAGGGAAGAAGACTGAACATGCTGTGAATCGCTCACTTCGGGGTCTGATAATTTGCTGTCTCTTGGTCCAAAAAATAATAATACTACGTACGTCAACTGAAGTCAATTGACCCTTCAGTGTGCTGTTTTTACCGTTCTAAGAGCTGTATTTTCAAACTAACGGAGTCCATCGTTAAACAACAAATATCGCTATCAAACATGTCTTTTTTTGTTTTGTACAATATAAAAAAAAGACGAGAAAAAAAAAACAGACAAATAACAAGCAAATTCAAAGAATATATTGTGGTCCCCCGCTTTCGGTGTCTTTGTGGGTGAGATGTAATTTTTATGGCATATAAACATACATCTAACGTTAATTATTTATCTTTTAATAAAAAAAAATTATACCCCTTACCTAATAATAAACATTAGGTAGGGGATATATATTTTTTTATTTAAAGAGAAATAAATAACGTCAGGTGCCTGTGGGCATATTATATCAAATATAAACGCTCTTTCATACGTCATTCAGAAGTCATAACCGATATTATTTTTTTTTTTAATTGGGTCAATGTTGAAGGTCAAGGGGTCAGAAATCACAGAAGCTCGGAAATATATTGTCACAGGAAATCCACATGTCAAATATATAGTAGTTACCCCATATCATACTGTTGGTTATGTGCAGATACCCGATGGGCGTGGTCATAATCACACGAGGGAGCGTAGCTCCCGAGTTTTCATTATGACCACGCACATCGGGTATCTGCACATAATCAACAGTATGATATGCCCGGGGTAAATGACTTAAACCATAGTTTCCAAAAATCATTCATATGTAAGTCAGCTTAGGAATTGGTCGGACTGGTTCGTGTGATTGAAACGTTAAGTGTTTGTTTTCAATGATACATGTGGATTTTATATGATTTTACGCTACTTCGTGTTCTTCTGACCACCTCCATCGAGTACAGGGTAAGTTATTTGTATACAATACTTTTCAAAAATTGATTGTATGTTGTTAAACGTTTTCCTCGAGAATTTTTCACTCATGTGGAGACGCCACGTCATGCCGGTGGAGAGCTACAAATTTTGTCCTTTACTCGGCACTCAGTGTCATTGAGCAGCAAGGGATCTTCTTCGTGCCAACACCTTCTGCGACACGGGACCTCTATTTATACGGTCTCCACATCCCACATTGGGATTCAACTCCTTACTTCGTGACTCTAGGGCAGGCGCTCTAACCACTGCACCACGCGGGCGACATAAAAGTTAAAAAGTTTGTCTGATTTATGTAATTAATTGAAAAATTAACGAGTTGGTTTCAATGAGATATGTTGATATATAATTTTTTTCTCTTAAATTTCAATCGTCAAAATCAAAAATTTAAATTTATTATGAACTTGGTTTAACTTGAATTTGAGAAAACCCGATACATACTTTGTCGTGCACAGTGGTACGTTGATTAAAATGTTTGTTAGACATGTTAGAGGTTATGTATATATTTCAATTTAATATCTTTCATCGGCTAGATCCGCAATCAAAAACTCTATTTAAGTAGCCTACAGTAGTGTACACTTTTGTTTTTACGTCATGTTTGTACCGTGTTTCCTTTGTTGGTTACCAATACGATACAGTTATTTGGCCAGTTCCGAATAAGAAACCGATTCGACGGTGCTATAAATATACTAGGAATTATATCAAAAACCAAGTGTTTTGTCAAGGTAGTTCAATGACTTGTGGAATTAAATATTATTTCATAAAAGTTCAGACTTCCCTCAAAAAAATTTATTTCGCAACTTACCATAGGTGTCCATTTTACCAGTTACGAATAACCCGACGGGTTCCGGATACCCTAGAGATTCTTATTCAATTCAACCCTAAATTAACAAATATACGTCCCAGACGTTATCCATTGGCATGCCTAAGAAAAGTTAAATTAATTGCTTACCAATAAATTATATGTATTTCCAAAGTTTAAAGAGAAACTAGAGGTACTGTGGGCACTGAGCTCATTTTAATGATACCCCACGCCTCCTTTATGATTATTTAAGACAAACTCCATGTTTTACTCTGGGAGACCCGAAATAAATGCCAGATCAAAAAGTAAAACTAGAGGTACTGTGAGCGATGAGCTCACTAAATGATACCCCCCGCCTCCATATAGTTATAATGGCAAAGTCCATGTTTTGCTGTGGCCGGGAAACCCAAAATATGTGTCGGATCAAAAAGTAAAATAGGAGGTGCACAATGGCATTATGTAATAAAGCTTCTGTGAAAGTTTCATCAAATTTCATTCAGTGGTATGAGAGGAGTTGCGGATAAGAGATGGGTACCCCAAAGCGTAACAGACGGACGGACAGACGGACGGACGGACGGACAGACGTACAGACGGACGGAATTAACGATTACTATATACCCTCCCGCTTTTCAAGTGGGGGATATAATAAAAGGTCACAATGTCACAATGCAATAAAGAATACGTGAAAGTATTATTAAATCTTATTCAGTGGTATAGGAGGAATTGCGGATAAGAGATGGATATACCTTTCAATATTACAAAGAATGGCAGTATCTATGTTTTTCCCAGGGAGCCCAAATTATGTACCAGATCCAAAAATAAAATAGGTGCACTTTGGCACTGTTGAACAAAGATTCTGTGAAAGACTCATTAAATTCTGTGAAGCGTTATTAAACTTTATTCAGTGGTAGAAGAGGGGTTGCGGATAAGAAATGGATACACCAGAGCATATCAGACAGACAGACGTACAGCTAGACGGACGGACGGACGTACAGACGGCTGGATGGACAAACATCCCATTACTTTATACCCCTTCTTCCTGTTTTTCAAGCGGGGGTATAATAAGTCACGTTTACAATGAAAAAAAAACATCGAAGAGTGAATTTATAATATTGTTTAAAATGGGTATATTCGGAACTGGTAAAATAAGAACACGAAAATATTTCGATATCTTCCAGTTTTCTAAATATTTATTTTTGACAATTTTTTAGTATATATTAGAGTACATATCAAACTTACTTTTGATACCTGGAACGTTGTTTTATGTGAAAAATTTATGCATCTACAGAGGTTTTTCTGCAGACTTACGCGTCGCGGCGATTCAGATTTGTTGCATTGTAAAAGTATGTCAACCGTTTCAAGTACGATAACGAAACCAAACTGAGGGCAAAAAATCAAAACTTCACATAATTCAAACACTCATATATAAGCCTTCTTACCATAGAAATCAATTTATTTTTACACTGTTGAATTTATTAATTATCAGTCCTTAAATTACTAATTATTCGGAACTGGCCAAACGACTGTATTGGAATCTACTAAGCTAACGACACCGAGCTGGTCATGACACTTTAAAATAAATGTTTAAAAAATCAAGCGATTTCTGAATTTTTTTTTTAAACTAACGTTAAAGTATTGATGCCCGTTTTTAATTGTTAATTATAATAAAATGCTCTCCACAATTGATAATTTTTACTCTTCTGAATTGGTATTATAACAAGCCCAGGTGATTGTTTCATTGAAAAATTGTGCATGATTTTATAGTTCTTTTGTCCTGACTCGATGGGCGGGGCTATAGAAAAGTGTGGGTTATGTACAGAAAACTCACACTTTTAACAAAAGAAATCACACCCAACTATGGTACAAGAAATTCCTTGTACCTTAGTTAGGTGTGATTTTTAAACATTTTTGAAAGTGTCATGACCAGGGTGACGTTAGCTTAGTAGATTCCAGTATCGTTCTTTTGATAACCAACAAAGGAACAACAATGAATTAAAAAAAAAAAGTTTAAACTACAGTAACTGTACTTAAAATATACAAAACCTCTAACAAACATTTCAATCAACGTACCAATGTGTACGACAAAGTATGTATCGGGTTTACAAAAATTTAAGTTAAACCAAGTTCATAATTAATTTAAATTATTTGATTTTGACTATTTTGACGAGGAAAAAATCATATCAAATTAACATATCTCATTAAAACCAAACCCGTTAATTCTTCAATTACATAAATCAGGCAAACTTTTTAAACGGACGTAGATATGTTTAATTTTTATGTCGCTCGCGTGGTGCAGTGGTTAGAGCGCCTACCCTAGAGTTACGAAGTATGGAGTCGTATCCCGCTGTGGGATGTTGAGACCGTACAAACAGAGGTCCCGTGTCGCAACAGGTGTTGGCACGAAGAAGATCTCTCACTGCTCGATGACCCTGAGTTCCGAGTAAAGGACAAAATTTGTAGCTCTCCACCGGTATAACATGGTGTCTCCATTTGAGTGAAAAATTATCGAGGAGTACGTTAAGCAACATACAATCAATTTTTGAAAAGTTTTGTATACAAATCACTTACCCTATACTCGATGGACGTGGTCAGAAGGACACGAAGGAGCGTAAAATCATATAAAATCAATATGTACAGTATCATGAAACCATACAGGTAATGCTTCAATCACACGAACCAGTCCGACCTATTCCTAAGCTGACTTACATATGAATGATTTTTGAAAACTATGGTTCAAGTCATTTACCCCATATCGTACTGTTGATTATGTGCAGATACCCGATTGGCGTGGTCATAATGACAACTCGGTAGCTACGCTCCCTCGTGTCATTATGACCACGCCCATCGGGTATTTGCACATAACTGCATGCATCTCCTCTTAATAAAAAGTTAATTGGAAAAATTGAAATTTTTGAAAATAAGGCCAAACTTCAAGGACAAGGTCACAAGACCGAAAATCATAGTATACAGTATTTAGAAAGGTCCTGTAACAAGCAGTTGCACAGGTTTGATATGAAATCCGGATCCCTATGTCATCTCATTCAAAAGTCACAAGCAAGGTTAAAGTTTTTGAAAAATCGTTCAAAATTCAAAGTCACGAGGCCATGAAAGCCCTATCCCTTCTCTTTCAAAAGTATTTACCAACTTTTAGTCTTTAATTTTTTTAAAAGTAATTAAAACTTCAAGGCCAAGCTCACGGGGTAAAAAATCATAGTATATTTAGAAAGATCTTGTCACAGGCAATAAACAGGACTAATATGAAAGCCCTATATACATGTATCTCTTCTCATTCAAACGCCATGACCAAAGTTTTTGAAAATTAGTTCAAACTTCAAGGTTAAGGTGACGATGTCAAAAATTATAGTGTATTTAGAAAGATTTTGTCACAGGTAATATACATGTTTAATATGAAAGCCCCGTTTCTTAATTTTCATTCAAAAGATATGACCAATGTTAACGTTTTTGTGACGGACGGACAAACTGACAGACAATTGAGATTTAATGTCCCATCTCTTTCGCAAAAGCGGGGGACAAAAGATGTGTAAAATTTCAAAAACTATTAAATTACATTTAATTTTCAGAGAATAAGCTCCCTGGAGTCGCAAAGAAAGGATTCTTTTGCTTCGGATGGGACCATATATGTAAATAAACCGAGCAGGTCCCAATATCTCAGTCTAGGTCCTGGCACGAACAAGATCTTCCTGATCAGCTGTCATATATAAGTCTAAGTACAGGTCTAAAGAATGAAGGTGAGAATGAAAAATTGAAAATTTCATAAAACTTTTATTTACTAAACCTCAATCAATTTGACGTTCGTCTTAAAATTCATTCAGATCGACTACTCTTTAAAATATGATGCACCCGTATACGGTGACATCTTATGGCGAACAGCCGAGGTCAAACTCAAATGTTAAATGTTAACAAATCAAAACTGTTAGTATTGTCAAACGGACTTGTACAATATGAAAGCCTTAGTACTAACGGATATAGTAGTAACGAATCTTTGATAACGCACAGATAAAATTTTAAAATTAATACAAGTTTGGATCTCATCTATTGTCGTACGTCAAGATCGAATTTGCGACGTAATGAATAAGTTCTTTTCGGCACTCATTTTGAATTTGATGAAACAATTAATGGAGACGCATCCCATATAATATATAGGATTAAAAATGCAACACAATTTAACGGTGTTCTCACCCATGCATGTTTCACTTCCGCATCGTAATAACGGTGTGGACGTCTTTAGAGGAACTACTATTTTTTGTATATAGGATTTTTAAAATCCGTGTGTGTGATACACGTTTCTCAACCTATGTATCACAGTTCGTGAAAATTTTATTATTCAAGCAGATGTAATTTTGTAACAAACTACTTTTAACATATAATTATGCATTGCATTTTCAACAAAACCTAAAAACTAACAAAGTGATGTGCTTTACTTTTATGTAAAAATGCTGTTCAAAGTGAAGTGGTTTACCTCCATAAGAATGCCGTCCCATTATTCAATAGGAGATTTGTTCATTAACTTTTAATTAATCAATATTTCTGTCAGGTTCACCTTTCCCTGCTGTCACACTGTCAATACGGTTCCTGAATGAGGACTGATAATCAGCCTCTAATTATTATTATTCCAACGTCCACGGATAGATTATTCGTAATTAATGTCCTAAAGTTATAAATAATCTTTGGATATGACCACCATGTGGCAAAAAAATCATAAAAATATGCTGTTTGTCGCATGCAAGGCCATTTAGGCCTCTTTATGGACATGTGCAACGTACCTTACCGACTGGTAATATTTCAAGATATTCTTAGATTAAGATTTTAATGTCATCAGATGTTCATTGAAAAAAAAAATCAGCATATGCATTACCAAGGGTTTCAAAGAAAAATATATATAAATTACTAAACATATACTCTACACGTTTCTTTTACCAAAATTGTTCAAGAAGAAGTGTTCAACACCATAAATATATAGACATTAGAATATAGCACACAATACCTTAAAGAATAAAATTGGAACTCTTCAACTCGATGGAATTAGATAAACAAGTTCAAACTGCGAATGTCCTTAATGGTTAAGTGAGATCAATGGAATTTTTCAATGAATGAGTTTTGGGTTATAGATGAAAGATCGATTGTATATTGTTTAACGTCCCTCTCGAGAATTTTTCACTCATATGGAGACTCCACCACTTGCCGGTGGAGAGCTGCAAATTTTGTCCTATATTCGGCACTCAGGGCCATTGAGCAGGATTGGGGGATCATTTTCGTGCCAGCATACTGCGACACGGGACCTCGGTTTAGACGGTCTCATCCGTAGGACCGGTCTCCACGTCCCACAGTGGGATTCGAATCCGCGATGTAAGAATCAACTCCTTACTTGGCGACTCTAGAGCAGACACTCTAACAACTGCGCCACGTGGGCGACTTTAGTAGAAAGATTCATGTACACTGTATATATTTTTTTACAAGGTTGTGTTTGTCAGTTCACACTTGAAATCACGTCTGTCCTATTTAAAAAGTCACTATCCAGTTAAAAAAAATTACCCTGTTCTTTGAATTCGGCCCGTTTTAAATTCGGCCGACTAAAAGTTGGACAAAAAGGATGAAATAAAACGGGGTATAGATATTTTCCTGTAGAAAGTAATACTGGAAGGTATTACATTTTTCAATCTGCTAGACAGATAGAAAAATACCACATAAAATATAATTTGATTTTCAATGTATCCATTATTGAAAGAATAATTTTAGAGTAACTTTTCAAATACATATATATCGAACAAATTAAGTCAGATCTAGGAACGTCGATTAATAACTAGCTTCATAATTTTAATACCAGTGTTTTAATGGTTATAATTTATACCTCTAATTCCAGCTCTTTTTTTAAGGAGGGGGGGTGCGGAGGATGTCTTCCATTGAAATCGGGCTTTAAGGTTAGGTTTGCGACTCCCTCCAGGGCCATACATGTATGTATTTATAATTTTTCTTGTAAACGAATAAATGTTCATTAATTATTTTCTTATGTTTAACGCATATAAATAAAAACTATGTCATTGTCAAAATACAATGTTCTAGTTGTAAATTCCTTTGAAATTTGTGGAAGAAATAATTATTGTTTTGTCTTTTTTTCCCTGTAACATATGCCCCCGGCCCCACACTCACCCGACGCAGCTCAAAAAAAAAACGTTGACATGAATTTGTGAAATAACAGTTCATATAATTACCTTTAACAGAGATTTTAATACTTCACGGAGAGAGAGGGTGGAGGAAGATGTTTTAAAAATATTTTCCGTTTTCATTTGATTTCTGTAGTGAAAAACATTCAAGTTTAGTTATCTCTCTTTGTTTTCCCAAATAAATAATGTTTTGTGAAAAATCATATACAAGTAATTATCTTAATGGTAATATAACAACCAAGTTTTACAATAAACGTGATTACTTTAACTTTTCAATTGTCAATTTCCCTTACTTAGGCAGCAATATACCTTTGTCATCTGCATACGGAGTTTATATCTCTCATTTGATTCGATACGCAAGATGCTCTACGTGATCTATAATTTCTAAAACGAAGTAAATTATTGACTAACAAGTTGATGAAACAAGAATATCAACAGCCTCGTTTAAAGTCATCATTTTGCAAGTTCTAACGTCGATAACAAGACCTTGTTAGCAAATATAATTTATCATTTATTCAGAATCAAATGCTGACTGACGTTTTTCATTCTAATTGTTAGACCATTCGTATTTACACACTAAAATGCCGACGGATATTCCTGTTATATTTCCTGATCTGGACAAGGAACACACGGCGGGTGTGACCGTCAGCTGGGGATGCTCACTCCTCCATGGCACCTGATCCCACCTCCGATGTTTTGGAGATCCGAGTTTGCTCTGCTCTTGATGTGTATTGCTTAATGGACTTTAAATTTGAACTTGAATACTGTTTGTCATCTCCATATATTTCACTTTATAAATGTATATGAAAAAAATTGACTTGGAGTTAGGCAAGAGAAAAATACTATCGTTCGCAGTTTTTTGCTTCATTGATGAAGGAAGATCGTTAAAAATTGTTTTATTTAGAATCGTGTCATTAATATGTTTTCTTGATACTTGAAATAAAAGGGAGTATAAAGTTTTTAGAACTTTATCCGATCCAATTTGTAAAATTCAAAGACAAAAAAAAAAGGTTTAAACTCCCATGCTCCAGTAAGTTATGATTTTTAACATAGATTTTATTTGACAATGTACAAATGCTACTCACATATATTATATGAAGCATGTAATACACACATGCAGGTTTAACATCATATATGGATACATGTATTTTAACAACACGAATTTCAGGTGATTTGAACTGGATTCAATCTCATCATGTCGATTGTATAACAATGATCAAGAGTATGAAAAGCGGCAACTCGTCTGCAAATTTGCTTGAAAGTACATATTGAGGGTTTTTTCGCAGATATGCACCGTGTTTTGATGAAAGTAGTCCAAGAATTTTCCCATTTCTCATATCGGAAAACTTTGGACTGAATGTTACTAAAAACAAAGTGTCTTTAGTTCATAACTGCAAGCGAAAAATCACAATTCACGATATGGAGTTCAGGCTCGACAGAATAAGAAGTATAGGCATGAATTTAGTAGTGTATTCTTACATGTACTCCTCCATAGCACCTGATCCCAATTCTGATGTGTTTTGAGGTCCGTGTCTCCTCAGCTCACGATTTGCATTGCTTGAATGGACGTTGAGCTTAAATACTGTTCGTTATCTCCATGTTTCATTGTTCAATATGGACAACAAACAGTATTTTACTGCTTAAGGACAGATGGTACAAACAATTTTTTTTTGGAGGAGACTCATGTCATAAGTTTAGAAAAGTGGCTTATTCTTAAAATTTTTTCTCCTAAGAACTGGAAAATGAAATAGACATGGAAAATATTAGTAATGTTTGAATAAAAAAACAAATATGGACAAATCACACTCAGTAAAGGTTTACAGATGAAAACAAATTTCAGAATATGTTGCCTTGGTGCTAAAAGTGTAATATAAACTTTTATAAAATATACCAAGCCGGGTGAAATTTATGAGGAAAAACTAAATTGCAAACAATCAGCAATATCACGTAGGCTGATTTTTACCATTTTGCTTTTCCTCATACAATACACCTGGCTTGGTATATTTTTCTAAAGTTTATATTACACGCTTATAGCACCAAGTAATTTCTTTGAAATTCTAGTATTACTAATATTTTCCAAGTCTATTTCGTTTTCAAGTTCTTAGGAGAAAAAATTCTAAGAATTATCCACTTTTCGAAACCTGTGACATGATAAAAATCTCCTCCAAAGAAACAAAAAATGTTTGTATCATCTGCCCTTAATTAACACCAGTGTCCATGCATGGATATCAATATTTAGCGTTCAAAATTAAAGCAATGAATTTGAAAATGATAATGGATAACTTAGGTAAACACGTACATCATCTAATAATGCAATTTAAGGTGAATACGCGAACAAGATGAAATAACTCATAGGAATATACAGTAAAGGTAACGATGTTAGAGGGAATGTAAACTGTCCTGGTCCCCATTTGTGTCCGAAACCGGAACCGGAACTGTCCGAACGCCATGTTTCTCGTCATAGTTCACATTCAACTTGATCCTTTCATTTGTGTAACTATCTGCAAAAGTCAAAGACACAAAACCATTAAATTCTTAAAGTTTAAATGATGCGCTGCTTTCATGAAATCATACTTAATCGTTGAAAACCGCTAATTCCTAAGTTTCTGATTATATAAGATCAACATCCAATTTTGTTAATCATACTAAGTTAAATATACCTGATCGAGACCTTCAAGGTGAAGATATATTTTTGGACCAGACATAAAAAGCTTCCAATGACACAACTAGGAAATATTAAAAATCATGTTCACCTGGACCTGACCTTTCAGGTAAATCAAACATTTAATATTTTCTACATCGGACCAAAATTAGATAAAGAAATCGCAAATTAATAGAACTGGTTATGAGCATTATTACTGATATTTTTTTCGGAAATATTTCTATAGACATACCTATAAGATCTATTTCGTTTGTTACTCATTTGTCTGACTTTGAAGAAAACGCAGATTTGAAATCTTAGAATAAATATTTATCCTGCTTAAGCGAGTGATGCATTCCTGTATGAACTATTTAAAAACAGTCTTATCTTAAACTTTGAGATTGTTTTTTACTTCATGCCACTAGGATATTTTAAGAGCACACGTAATTGTTTCAAATCCAGTTTGCTTTTCTAAGGATGAAAAAGTTTTCTTCTTAGATCAATTCTTATGTATTTTTTTTTTGTGGGAAATAGTCAACTGCATAAAAGTAAACAGTTGAAAGCCATACTATTTACAAAAAAAAAATGATTTATTTCTTTACTTTGGGATACCCATTTCTTATACCACTGAAGGAAATTAAATGAAACTTTAACAGAAAGTCAACTGCATAAAAGTAAACAGTTGAAAGCCATACTATTTACAAAAAAAAAAAGATTTATTTCTTTACTTTGGGATACCCATTTCTTATACCACTGAAGGAAATTAAATGAAACTTTAACAGAAAGTGACCTCCTGTTTGACTTTTTGATTGGAGACGTATTTCGGGTTTCACATTGCAGAACACGGGCACAGCCAATCTTTATATACCCAACTCCTCTTATACAACTGGAATGGTAAGTTAAATGATACTTTCACATGTCTTCATTACATAAAGTCATATAGTGCACCTCCTATTTTACTTTTTAATCCGACAATTTTTGGGGTTTCCTACATGTATACCAAACATGGACTTTTCCATATGCATGGGATGCGGGTATCATTTGATGAGTCCAGTGCTCACAACACCTCTAGTTTAAACAATTATATAATCTGACACTTATTAAGAGTCAAAATCAGCAAGCATCGAGCATTTAGTTAAAAAATGTGGAAAGTGGCATAGAAACAGATTTGGTTGAAACTCATATATAAATTTTCAGAACAAAAGGTATAATAGAAAAAAGCAAGCCAAAAATAATTTTTCGCATTGTTGCTATGGAAACCACGCGCCTTTCAAATAGCATGTTTTGTACTTTATCATGACACTTGAATTTATGGTTAAACAAATATTTTTTATTACTAGTCATTAATAAAAGCTTTTTAAATTATTATTCTATTTATCTAAAAATACTCTATTTTAACAACTGTTGATTATTGAAATTCTCTTCACCTTTTGATAAATAAAACTAGTTTTTGGAGGTTTATTTTGATTTAAAAAACAGCAAATTTGCAGTAATCTATAAGAAATCTACAACCACATTAAAGCTTATCAACATAAAATATATATTAAACAGTATTTGTCCTAGAAGAATCAAGAAAAAAATCTGCAGGCAACTAAAGCATTTATATATGATAACTGATTTAAATCCATAATTATCTGTCTTTTTTGCTTCAAATTACCTCCCTTTGGTATAGCTCTCTAACATAGGAGGAATAAACGGTAGTTTGCTTACATTGTTTTCAATAACAGTGTACAGAAGACTAGAAGAAAATTACAAACTTGGAGCAGTCTGAGCCTCAGTTTTGGCGTTTTCATGAGTCTTGATTACGGTTAGTGACTGAATTTTTTACAATTTACCATTACAACAGTTTCTGAAAAATGTATAACAAAAATTAACCATGCAGGAAAATATGTAACACTTGGCAAGTGTTTTTTTGCACATTTCAATTTAATTCTGATTGATTATATATGTTAGCATTACTTTAGTATTTTATAGTATTTTATAACTAAAAAGAAAAGATTATGCATGGCCTGAGGAACCAAGAGGAGGGGGTATGCCCCTCCCCCTCCCCGATAATATTGCCGATATTAAACTAGAATATGATAAAATGAAATTAAATTCCCCAACTTAGATTGTTTCTGCGGGCCGAACGTGAAAAAGTTGGTCATGATCAGTTTCATAACTGTATCCCAAATTATAAAGTTTAATTTGAATTTAGTTTAATTTTGATTTGTTGTATTCACAGCATGTGTGTAACCAAGTCACTCACCAGCTATAATGATTATAACTTGAGTGATGGTCGGGTAAAAAAAAATTCTGTATATAGTAATAGATATCTTTATTTACCATTTAAGATAATACCTGCTTTTTACATTAAAAGTTATGAATTTATGAAAATCAACACTATTATGAAATATTTGTAAAATGGAATGACTTTTGTTATGACGTCGTAAAAAAAGAAAAAGGGGCAGGGGGTTAACTCTGTACTTATTATATTTTAGTTTAGGAAAGGGGATTACCTTGGAAGTATTGTGATACAGACAAGTATATAATGTAGTGGACTAGTTGTAACTGAATTGTATATATACCACAGTAAAATAATAAATTAAAAAAAAGGTTTTTGCTGATGTCATCCAGTGTTTACTTATGAAAGAAAATTCATATTCAGCTAACATTTTCACCGGTACCACTGAACTAATTTAAGTCAACTAGGTTCAAATAATAAGCATCATTAGAATTACAGCACATAAATTTTTGAAAAGAATTTCTATACTATTTTTTCTTGGAGGGGGGGGGGGTTATTGGAAAGAAATGAAAACCACAATTTAGAGTTTTTACAAAACCTAGAACCAATTGACCTTTTTATTACAATTTTATAAATTTAAAGAATATTTAAATCAATACCGTCTCAACTTTGTATTGTATACTTCTGTTTTTAGAATGAAATTCGCCACTTTGAAGCCAGACTCGGAAAGAAGCAGAAACAGAATTGGATGAGCTGATATAGAATTAGACAGGAAAAACGTGTAAATAATACTTTTAGTAAAAACGTTAACTTTTTAAAATACAATGATAAAGTAAACCATTGAGATCTCTTGGAATTTAATTGATTCCAATAAACATGCTTTGCATTCATCATCATTGCTCAAGCTCAACTAGAAATGGTTCTTAGTAAGTATCTGAATACAAAGCTGTATAATATTATTACATTTTAATTTTATCACTTTTTCAGATTATCATTATGAGAATACTTCATTACAGTACAGACCATTGATGCTGGAAGTGAGTGGATAGTGTTACCGGAGACTCAGGAATCCAGAAAATAGATCCATAAATTGTACAGTGTATTCATGAAAGTGGATCAAATAAAAATGTTCAATCCAAAAGTAACATTCTTTGTTTGTCTGTTAGCATTTTTTTATTGATGTAAATCTAACAAGCTAATTCAGAGAATTTGTGTACCCCGCTTAGGGAAAAAGTAAACCATGCGCAATTCGGGGCGGGGTGGGGGTGGGGGGGGGGGGGGGGTCGGATCCCCCTAATTGAATTTGTAGAATTTTTAAATGTATACATGTATGCTGAAACAAATAAAATATGTCAATATTGATATAATGTTTTGATCATGTGTATAGAAGATTCTTTTTATGTGGATTATTTATCATGAGTTTGTACAAGCTAGACCTCATAATTTTTTTCATTTCACATGCTGAATACTATCATTTAGTAAAAAAAAAGAATTTCGGAAAAGAAAAAAATGATCGTCCGAGAATCGAGCCCGTGACCTCTCGCATGTGAAGCGGGAGACATACCACTGCGCCACGGAACTGCTTTACAATTTCGACAATTATATGCAAATATGAAGTCACATACATGGATATATTCACTTTTGATATCGTCAAAAATTTACACAAAACATGGTGTCTAATTCAACCTTTATTAAACAGTTCTGGTAGATGTGATAGGAATATAAATTCTGAGGAGAACCTGTTTTATACGCAATAACTCCTCATGCCCCTGTGCTAAAAATAGCGACATGTAATACTATAAATACTAATAAAACAAACGGGGCGGGACACTTTGAGAGAGGTCCTAGGGAATTTTGGTATAAAATACATTGCATAAGCTCAAAATCTTCTTGAAATATCGCCCGGAAATGATAGTGTTACACACAGAGAGAATGTATAAATTTACGACCTTTAACTTTGACCTTTTGACGTCAAAATCAATAGGGGTCTTCATAAGGCCACGGGGAGTTGTTATGTAAAATTTCATTGCAATAGCTCAAATGGTTCTAGAGATACTGTGTGGAAAGGAAAGTGTTATAACAGACAGAATTTGTTTATTTATGACCTTGACCTTTGACTTTTTGACCACAAAATCAATAGAGTTCTTCTTTAGTCCATAGGGAGTAACTGTTGCTATGCTTAATTTCATTGCAAAAGCTAAGAGGGTTCTCGAGATATCTTGTGGAAACGAAAGCGTTCAAGACAGACAGAAAGACGGACGGACGGAAGGACAAACGGACAAACTCGGGAGGGGTGTGTGGTTAAACATTAGGGTACGTTGAGAAAAAAGTTGGGTGGGGGATGTCATCCCCCCTACCCAACCCAAACCTGATGCTACATGCCTGATTGACATGGTTTTACTTTATAATTATGTGAGCTGTCATAGTGACTCTCTTTCATAAACAAGAATTATTGTGAGCAAGCTAATAAAATGATACCAACCCTCCTGCTATTGCATTAAATGTTTTTTTATTACAAAAAAGTCTAAATACTAATTTGAAACCTTTTAAAATTTTGCTAGTGCAGATATACCAAAAATGTCTATGACAAATACTCAAGTCATAGGTAGTAAAACCGTTGTGTTGAGCACAAACTTCCAATTTCCCTTCATTCGAAGTTAAATATGTAAATATGCCAAACTCATATAGTACACTTTTACTGCAGTGACCTTGAAAAAGCTATGTCCTTGAGTCAAGGGCAAACATGTTCAAATGAATTTTGGTCAAGGTCATGACAAACCTACAGCTTAAAAATAATTCCCAAGATGAAACCAAGTCTTTTCATTAGAATGTTACAGAAAGGGCAAAGGTTGCACTTTTCTTCTACCAATGACCTTGAACTTGTTCAAATGACCTTTAGTCAAGTTTTTGACACATCTCTCGATTGCAAGCAATCTTAATATCAAGTATGAACTTTCAGTGGCACTTCATTGAAATGTTATGGACAAGTCAAAATTTTACATACATATGGATCAGTGAACAAGGTGATTCCTACCCCCCCCCCCCTTTTCCAAGTTTCGTTTGTGAGGAATATAAAATTCCTTTTGAAATTGAATGTGCATTTATTTATTAACAATGGTAAAGTTATGAGTATGCTTTGATCAGAACCAATATGGCCAATATAATGGACACTGAACATGTATTTAAATTACCCCCACCCCTTCAAAAAAGCTTATAAATGCCAGATTTTCACACATTTTAACCATTTGTAACTTTTTTCTATTAAAGTTGCCTGCAAATTTTATTGTATAAATATGACATATAGATAACCCCTAACAAGATCATACCATTCATTTTTCCAGCAGTGGTTGTAGATTTTGTGAATATAGTGATAAACATATGTAACTTTTTTCAAAATTAATAAGCATTGACGCCATGTTCTTTTCCCGTTGTCATGGCAACAATATCACTACAGAAATTTTGTTTTTCCTATTTTTGGAGAATAAAGTAATTCCATCTTTTAACAAATAAAGTAACCAAAATACCTTATCTTATCACGTTCAGAAAAAATATTCGTAGAAAAATGTCTAAAAATCATTGATTTTCATAAGGATTTATGAACCCGTTGCTAAGGAAATGAATTTCCGTGGATACCTTCGAAAAAAATTTTAATTGTGTTTTAGCATTAGGTAAGACAAAATCTTTCATATACCAAAAGCTTTTGAAAAAATAAAATTTTGACTTTCCATTCAATGCTCGATGCTTGCTGATTTTGACTCTTAAGTATTTTGGGTCTCTTATAGCAAAACAAGGACTTTGCCATTATAATCATACGGGAGGCAAGGGTACTGATACTTTCTCGGGTTCTTTATTACATAAATTCATATTGTGAAGCTCCTATTTTACTCGTAGTCCGGTGCCCAAAGTACATTTAGGCAAAACAATTATTACTAATATTTTTTCAGGCATATTTCTATAGACATAGATTTTCAATCTATTTCCTTTATCACTCATTTGCCTGAATTTTAAGAAAACGCAGATTTGAAATCTCAGAATAAATATTTATCCTGCTTAAGAAAGTGATGCATTGCTGCATGTACCTGCGCAAGCGCAAAGCGTAAAATGAACAATGTATTTGAAAAACGGTAATATTGTTATTTTTCTGACTTTTTATTGATTCTTGGAATATAAAGATATGTTAATGGTTTAGACAACATGCCATGATCACCTTGCATGTGCATTCACGTGCGTTTGCGTGCAATGCGTTAAATGACTAAAAATTGATATCATTGTAAATTTTAAAATTCTTTCATGAAATCCTGTGATACTGGGCATATTAAAATTTTTTTTAAAGGAAATTGGCACAAAAAGGGAGTTGGGGAGCGTTTGGGGAACATCTGTAACGGTCCCCGTTACAATTAGAACTAGTCCTTGAATATATTTATGTCGGAAACAGTTAACTTAATACATGTATGAGTTAAAGCTATACCAGCCAACCAGGTTTTAAGCTTGCACTTTTTGTAAAAGAAGCATGCACGTAGAAGTATATTAATTTTTAAATTTTGTTTGAATGAGATGTACGTAGTGTATGATATTTTTCTTTTTTTAAACACAGAAAATGGTTGCTTTATTTATCTATTTTATTTCATTTATTTATTTAAGTTCACAAAGTATTTTGACTAAATTTGCCGGTAAAGTGTAACTTAAACAGAGTCTATTAAAAACTTTAATTTTCATAATTGATCAACCGCTTAAGCGGGGGCGTTCTTAATGTGAATAAATGAAAATAAAACCTTCTAGTCATTCACTTGCATTATGTAATGATTTTACCATAAGGGGAAACTCTTCATTACAAAAACAAATGCCGCGAGTGTTCATTAATAATTGAATTTTTGCAATATGGCGCAATAGCTACATGTTTATAGTAGGTATCAAAGAAAATGTACGAAGGGAGAGGGCTAAATAAGGCTTTGCCTGCTACCAAATCCCATTCACTTATCTGGGAATAAAATTTTGTATAAAGAAAAAAAAAGTGTACGAAAAAATCTCCTCAATGTTTTTCTTTGCAATAAAAATAATTCTGTTTGCTTTTACAGTGCAATAGATTTATATTTTATTGCTCTCTGCAAACTTCAAGTATCTCCATATACTTCAGAATATATTAAATTATATATGTATAGTAAAGAAGCAATATTTGGAAAAAATGACGCCATAAATGACACATTAAACTAAGCTGTGGTCATGCTTGCCTTTGCTTGCATGATAAGAAGATAGTACAGTATACATTACCAAAACAGCTTGATTCTACGAGAAAAGAAAAATTAACTTACTGAATAAACTTATGATCGAGTAATCGCATAAGTGATCAGATATTATTACTGATATCTTTATCATTATATTGATGATATTTACAATAAATATTAGCCATAGAAGATATCAACATCGTAAGGAAGAATAAATACCTCTATATTATACGAATTACATCTACCCTTGACTGATATTTTTTTGTTAACATACTGTTGGTGTTTAAGTAATAGCATTATATGTTGTAGGCGTCGGAACCAAATTGAAAGTGTAGTACGGTGGCTATTTGAAGGGGGGGGGCTAAACAAAAAGGTAAGCCCAAATTTTTTATGCCTATATTATGTCTAATTGTCTATCTTTGCCAGAAACAGGGGGAGGGCTAAGCCCCCTTCCCCACCCACCTTAACGCTAACTCATGTCTTTGTTGCCTGGCATTCCCAACAAACTATACGGTGATTCCTCTTATTAACATTTATAGAAGTTATAGAATTGTAAGAAAGAATCGGCCACTGACGGCACACACAAAGTCAGCCACACGAAATTGACATGTATAATACATATCCACTGGGCTGTCTTTACACTTGACGAAATTTACATTCAGGTGCAATTGTCAAGAAAATCAACCCATCTAGCTTCCAAAGAGGTAATTCGGAGAAAACAACTAGAAATAATATAAGTATGTTCCCAAATACCAACTTGACATGAAAAAAATGTTTTCTTACCCTTTGATGGTTAGCAATTAATTTGTAAATAAGTAATTACCGTGGTTATTGGCGGCTAATACTGAGGATGAATTAGTGGCGGGCTTTTTGTAGCTGGCGGAACTCATCGTTAATCGTCTAACATTTTTCTCAGGCTGGAAGACTATGATGTACATTTTAGGCGTGAAGAGACACACAAGGGCTACGGTCGCACTGAGACTAATGGAAATACACAATGTTGTGATCTGTACCTACAATGGAAGAGAGAAAAATGTTTTTAGAAAGTAAGCACACATGAAAGTTATTGCATTTGTAAGCTCATCGTAGTAATTAATGACCTTAGAGTACTTATGTATAACAAAGGATTTCAATGTCTGTTATTTCGAAATTGGCATGTTTCACTAAGATAAGCAAATTGCAAAAATTCATTTGTACTTGTATCAAGTAATTCAAATATAAACGTTAAACGATTTCCCTAGATACACTGATATGGATGAGAATCAAGAATGCAATGAAGAGAGGCACATCATTTATATGAAAACATTCTTAAAATCTTTATACGACCGTTCCACACGATAAATTAAAGTAGAGACATTTTAAATCATCGACAGCTGATTTTTAAGTAAAAATTGAATTGGGTAATCTGCTTATCTTGTCATTGGTCATTTGCATAAGACTTTGTTAAAAATACAACATTCTGATTTACATTCAAGTACGATGAAGTTGATATTAAATATGTCTGAATTCATTATTGTAAATATATTTGTGGTTTTTGAAGACCAGGTCTTCTAATCTGTTGGAATTCCGACAGTTACTAGTTACCCCCGTTATCAGCAGACATACTACTATTTACATGAAGCAGAATGTATTCAAAATCTTATACATGAGAAAAAGAAAACACTTCCTGGGGCCTTGAACTCGACAATTAGATATATCGACGACGTATTATCAGTTCAAAAATATTATTACTTATTTCTATTTGTCTGTAAACACAATACATCTCAATGAATTTGAAATTAAAGATACCACAGAGTGAGCCACATGTTATTCATAATTTGATATTTTACTAGAAAAAAAGACGAAGATGATAACGAACAAAGCTTAATGATAAATGTGATGACTTTAATTTTCAATCGTTGACTTCCCTAACTTATGCAGTGATCATTTCATGGTTCATGTTTTAAAGTCGATACATAAATCTTGCCAACAAATATAATATATCATTAAGTCAAATGCTGGCTGACTTCTTTCATACTAATTATTAGGCTTTTATTTACAAACTATATTGTCAAAGGATTCTCCTTTTATCTCCAGATCATGACAAGGAACATTCGGCAGGTGTGACCGGTCGTCTGGTGAAGCTCACTCCTCCATGGCACCTGATCCAACCCTTGATGTTTTTGAGGTCCGTGTTTGCTCTGCTCCTGATTTGTATCTTAATGGACTTTTATGCTTGAATAATGTTCATTATCTCCATGATACCACATAGTCTGACACATCTGTTTCATACTTGAATGTTTACTTGAAAAAGACGTTAATGGTAATCTAACAACCAAGCTATGTGATAAACGTGATGACTTTAACTTTTCTATCGTCAATTCCCTTATTTATGCAGCAATATACAATCATCACCTGCATATGGAGTATATATATCTCAGTTGATTCGATACGTAAGAGCATCCTCTACCTAATATGAACAATTTCTAAAACGAGGTAAATTGACAAGCAAGTTGATGAAACAAGAATATCAGCAGTCTCGTTTAAAGTCATCATTTCGTAAGTTCTGTGGTCGATACAATGACCCTGTCAGCAAATACAATTTATCATTGAGTCAAATGCTGACTGACGTTTTACATACTAATTGTTAGTTCATTATTTATACACTGAATTGACGACGGATTTTTCCGTTATTTTCCGATCATGACAAGGAGCACACGGCGGGTGTGACCGGTCAGCAGGGATGCTCACTCCTCCATGGCACCTGATCCTACCTCCGATGTTTAGGAGATCCGTGTTTGCTCTGCTCCTAATTTGTATTGTTTTATGGACTTTGAGATTGAATACTGTTCGTTATCTCCATATCCTTCTCCATGCATTGAATGCTGTTCATTATCTTCATATATTTCATTCATTAGATAACGAATAAAAAATTAGTTAAAGTATTATTGATGGTTAGCTTATCAAAAATTACATGTAGTAAAATGTTGCCAATATCTTGCACTTTTTTGTTAGGTGTATGTATTGTAAGGGTGCAATGATCTTCTGTAAAGGGGGAAAATCTCACCATATAACTTGTAAAAATTGCCTTGTGAAAGGTTTGTTAAAATTGAATGCGCCTTCTTATTATATTAGAAATCGTATTGAGAATCAGAGACGTTATAACAAAATTGTATATGAGTTAACAGAAAGTCGGCGAGCAGATATTTGTTATTCCAAATTTTAACGGCCTTAACTAAATATATATGAAGAACACCAGGGTGCATCTTTGAAGTTGTCCGATGTAATGGTGTTTAAAGAAAATTGGTTCGTCTTATGTGTTGCAAATAAATTCTACATTCACTTGTAGAAGATTCGTGTACATTCTATCTAAATCCCACACGCAATACTACTTGGAGGAACATAGGACCTTGAATCTTGTCTTCCCTGATTTAATTAAAAGATACGTGTAATCAATTTTCAGACCTCCCAACCAATACTAATTCATGAAAAAGGTCAGCTAGAGAAGATCAACCATAATTGTGAATGTTAAAATCCTTTCCCCTCTTTTATGAACGCAATCATGCAATATTTAGTCCAGTATGTCTAAAATGTTACATCATTACGAGAAAAATCACTCTATTTTTTAACGATAAAACTCGCATTTAAAATAACATCAGTTCCAAAAAGGAAATTATATTAATAAACAAGATGCCTTTTCCAACATTCCGTCAAATTTTATTTGAAAATGGTGCACAGCAAATGAATTGGGAATGTTTTTATTTTACATGTAGTATCAAACTCTAAATCGATAACAAAACATCGTGAATATAAGAATTAAGGTTTTATTTAACAAGAAACAACGCGGTAACAATCAATGACACGCGATTTCCATTTCCCAGCTTCTGACTTAAAACAGGAAGTGATTCCGCGCCGTAAAAAACATTACGCTGTACTAAGTGCTGCGGATGGTTGAAGTTAATTCTATTTACAAGGGAAAAGACGATCTAGAGATCCCCTGTCATTTTGAGACCACTCTGGAATTCTCGATGTTCGAAAAGCATTGATGTTATACTCAACAAGTATTGAAGGTGCTATATTTGCGCAATGCCCTTAAATGTTCGTACAAAAATACATTCCAGACAATGTCAAGGTTTTGTGATATTGCTCCTTTTCAGGAACAATATCATGAAACCTTGAGTATATGAATATGTGATATTTCTGACTATACAATTTTTTGAAATGATATGCAAGATTGTGTAATGCAAAAAATGTCTAGTTCGAACACCACTCGTTCCATGAAAGATGGCAGGGTTACGTCATTAATTCAAACGAAAGGGAATTAACAAAAGGGACTTAAAAGTAACACAGTAATAGGCAAGATTTTGGCAAGAATAAAGAACATCCTAATAAAACAAGTTTCATTGTTTACACGAAAACAACACATATCAAAGAATGCAAATCTTGTCAAACAAGTTCATTTTTATTAATAATAAAATGGCAATTTACACTGACTTGGCATCAAAACTATGGTCTAAATTTGATAATGTTCTTCTCTCTCTCTCTCTCTCTCTCTCTCTCTCTCTCTCTCTCTCTCATCACAGAACTGGATTATATAGTCACAAAACAAAATACGAATTTAGGTTTACTATGTACAGTATATATTAATTCAGATGAACAAAGATTTGATCAGTTCTATTCGCTGAAAACCAGATCACATGTTTTATTTTGACTTAAAAAAAACATTTTAATGAGATTAATTATACTTACGGGACATTAAAAGTGAATTTTTTAAATTGTTTGTTTTGATGTTGTTCGCTGATGAAAAAATGGTAGATTAAAAATATGGAAAAGAATATTTTTAAAAAAATCCCTAAATACTATAGTTACGATTATCATAAAAAAAAAAATGAAAAGTTTATAGTCTACGTTGATTAACATCGATTTCGGTCATCAATCATTTTTCTGTTACTTTGTTTTTATATAAATATAAAACTAAAATTTTACAAGAGCTTAAAAGTATATACCCTATTTTATCTAACGTTTTCTAACATTTTCAAAAATTTATTTTACATTATTTTTCCTGATTTTGTCGTTTTTGAATCAGATTTAATGGGAAAAAAGTGTTTGAGGTTAACACATCCACTTGTGAATAAAAAAATCTTGTTGATTAAGTAGTTTTTACCCCAAAATTTCACAAGAAAAGCATTTATGAAAGATTTTATGTGATGTTAAAAATGAATGAAGCTACTAATGCACAATGTTTGTTTTTATTCATGAGGACAGATATATTGCGTGATGTTTAATCTGGATTTTTTTTTTATTGATCTTATAGCCAAATCAATGACAAAGAAATCAAATTTAGTTTAGCATAAGAAAAATTGTTTGAGAGAGAGAGAGAGAGAGAGTTATCTTTGCCATTTTTCATTATTAAAATTGACTTGAAAAATATTTCTTTGAAGATATATAGATAATAGTTTGAATTAAAATGAAGTTGTTTTGAAATAGACTCTAAGTTTAACAGTGCTTTGTATACCTTTAAAGGAAAGAGACAGAAATGTCATCAAAAATGCAACTACAATGAAATATATAGAGATAACAAACAGTATTCCAGATGAAAAGTCCATAAAACTATCCAAAAATAGGAGCAGACCTCCAAAACATCAGAGGTGGGATCAGGTGCCATGGAGGACTTATCATCCCCTGCCGACCGGTCACACCCGCCGTGTGCTCCTTGTCATGATCGGGTAATAACGGAAAAATCCGCCGTCAAATCAGTGTATAAATAATGGACTAACAATTGATATGAAAAGTGTCAGTCAGCATTTGACTCAATGGTAAATTGTATTTGCTGAAAAGGTCATTGTATCGACCATAGAAATTACGAAATGATGAAAATGTAAGAGATAAACTGGCGATTTTACAAATAATAGTTAACAGATTCTATCCGTAAATCAGTTATGCAAAAATAAAGACATAACGTCACACAAAACAGTGAAATCAAACTCGTAATATTCCATTATCAAAAGGAAATGTTAATGGCGAAATATTATTG